GATGAGCAGGAATACTGCCAAGTGGGTTGAGGAATATGATGATAATGGCATGTGGTGCCGTGATAGAGAAGTATCTGAACAAAACGACAATTTATATTATATTCTGAATGTGGTTGATAGGTGCGAGTTGTCCAATGGGTTTCGTTTTATTAAAGAAATGCTATTGCAGTATCATAATTTTAAAATGCAATGCGCATATCAAAAATTGACAGAGAACAATGTTAAGGTATTGAGTGTCAAATGCGACGCTTTTGTCGTGGACTGTTCGGGTTTTAATAAGTTTGGTTTGAGAAAGACTCAGCAGTTGCTAGATTTTCACGATGGGATCGGTGGGTGGAAATTAGCCAAGACTCACGATGAGATCCATCATACAGGAAAGCAGTTGTATGAACAGAAGAAGTGTGAATATGTTGATATCCCGATTGTCAAAAGTAAGAGAGTTAACATCATTAATGAGTATGATGAAAATGAATTGGTTGAACTTGTTGAGAAATATAGGTGCTTGATGATCAAGGCCAAATTCGCAGGAGCGGGGAAGTCCACCATCTGCAAGAACATGGAGAGACTCAAGGGTTATAAAGTGTTGTTCGTGGTTCCTACCAATAATCTGGGTTTGGAGTGCGAAGTGGAAAGCGTCACTGTAAATAAATTCTTCGGTATAGCAGTCAATGACGAGAAGCTAGATAAATACGAGCATTCGATGTTTGATGTCATTGTGTTTGACGAGATTTGTTTTAATAATACCTTTGTATTGGCAAAAATCAAGGGCTTTGTTGAGCAGTTCAAGGACAGTAAAATAATGTTGGCAACCGGTGACGCCAAGCAGTTGAGCCCCATAAAAGCACTGACTAACACTAAGAAACACGAGATTTATATGAATGAATGTATTGACAGCATTTTTCCTCATCATTTGTTTTTGGAAGAGTGCAAGCGATTGAAGACTCAGGAGGACAAGGATAAACTTAAAAGTATTTACGCCGACATCTTTGAGCATGAGTTGTCTCTACATGATGTCATCAATAAGTATTTTAAATATACTGATGACATCACAGGAACAGAAAGCAATGTCGCATATTTAAATAACACTTGTAGAGAGGTTTCAAGGCAGATCAGGAAACGACAGGGCAAACAAAATGAGTTTGAAGTCGGCGAGATCATGATATGCAGAGAGTATAGGAAGACAAAAACCTATAAGTTAAATGTGAATTTTAGGTATGAGATAATTAATATTTCCGATCCTTGGATTACCATTGCTAATATCAAAACACGAGAAGAGATTACGCTAAATATTGGTATCTTGAGAAGTCATTTTATCTTTGCCTTCTGTTATACTTGTCATTCTGTTCAGGGGTGTTCCATTGATGACGATGTCACCATTTTTGATTGGAACCATCATCTGATAACTCGCGAGTGGCTTTGGACGGGAATCACTCGGGCAAGGGATTTAAACAGAGTAAAATTTTACAAATACAGTAGTGATTTAAATGAAGAGTTTAACGCAAAATGCATTATGAATTATTTTGATAGAAAGGTGTTAGCATACAAGGAACAGGATAGGAAAAACAAATTTGAGATCCCAAAAGACAATTATGTGGATGCCGAATGGTTGAAGGACAATGTCAACGGAAAGTGTGCAAATTGTGGCTGTGGCTTCGTGTTGTCAATGGATTCTGGCAATATAAACTCTAATTTGACATGTCAAAGGTTGTGCAATGATCTTCCCCATACAAAGGATAATGTCATTGCCTTCTGTGCTTCTTGTAATAGATGCTTCAGTGATAAAATAACATATTGATATTTATTTTATAGTATTATATATATGAGTGAAAAAGACAAGATAATCAGTGAGGTCTACTACGATCAGGCTGGGTTTGGTAGCATCGCCACCACTTACAAAGATGCAAAAAAGAAAGATGCATCCATAACAATGCAAGATGTCAAGGAGTGGTTTCAAGAGAACGTGGAACGGAAAAAACAACTGTCTGGATACAATTCGTTTATTGCCCCTGATATCAACTTTGAATATCAATTGGATCTGTTTTTTATATCAAAAAATGATTTAGATAATCAAAAATATAGGATAGGCTTATTGCTTATTGATGTATTTTCCCGCAAAGCCGTGGTGGTGCCTATTGCATCCAAGCAACCTGCCGACATCACGGCTGGGATCATGGAGGCATTAAACAAAATGGGAGGGAAACCCAAATTAATTTATTCGGATGACGAGGGGAGTCTCAATACCCAAGATCTTGTCGATTTTTTCAAGGACGAAGGGATCCAAAACTATAAAACACGAGGGCACCCCCATTTCGCCGAGCGTTTCATTCGCACGTTCAAGGACATGCTTTTCAAGAGGGTTGACGCAGACGAGAAAAAGGGAAAGGTTAATATACAATGGGTTGATTATATCCCCGAGATCATGCTGACATACAACAGTAAAATGGTTCATTCTGCCCACGATATGACTCCAAACGATGCCCACAAAAAGGGAAACCATCTTGAGGTCAAGATGAAGCTTGAGATGAACAGAATCAAAACCCGTAAATATCCCCTTGTTAGGGTTGGTGATGAGGTCAAAATATACCGCAAAAAAGGGATTTCCGAGAAAGAAAGAACGAGTTCATGGTCAGCAAACAAGTTCACAATTGAAAGGATTGAGCGAAAACTTGGACAAGACTATTATTATGTCCAAGGTGTGACTCGTGCTTATTTGAGATCGGAAATTCTGAAGGTTTGAAAAATAACATCTAAACGGTTCTAATAGCTGATGAATCTATTAGAACTGTTTAGTGGGACAGGGGTCGGTCGGCCGCATCGCCCGCGATCTGGGGTTCAATGTCATTTCACTGGATTTGAAAAATGCTGATATAAATACTGATATTTTGAAATGGGATTATAAACAATTTGATAGGAACCATTTTGATTTTATTTGGAGTAGTCCCCCATGCACTGAATACAGCAAAGCAAAAACTACAGGAATTAGGAATATTGAATATGCTAATAGTATAGTTTTAAAAACTATTGAAATTATCAAATATTTTAATCCTAAATATTTTGTAATCGAAAATCCCCAAACTGGATTATTAAAAAGTCAGGAGTTTATGAATGAGTTTGATTTTAAAGATGTAGATTATTGTAAATATGGAATGCCTTACAGAAAGAGAACTAGGCTCTGGAATAACATTACAACATGGAAACCTAGAGATTTATGTAAAAAGGATTGTGGCAACATCAGGAATAATAAACATATTGAAACTGCGCAGAGACTGCCAAATGGAAACAAGAAAAAATGGGGAGACAATCCAAAAATACATAAGCAGGAAGACCTATATAAAATACCTAGTAGTTTAATCAGTGAAATTTTGGTGAGTTTGGTTGGTTAAATAATTTGGGGCTGACCACTGCCGGAAAAAGCCCCTTTTTTAACATACACCGCTTTTGGTGTATGCGTACACCGCTTTTGGTGTATGGTGTTTGTGATAATATTTGTCAATGTATGATATGTGATAATTGCAATAAAATTATAAACGAAATTGATGATATGAATAGCAAATATATTAATACTAGAAATGTTAAAAATATTGATGAAGATTTAGAAATATTTATGTTTATTAAAATGAATAAGTTCTTGACTGAAGAAGAGTTTGGAAATTTATTGTATAAGGGCGATGAGGAAGGAAATGATAATGATTCTATTTTTAAGTATTATAATCTGGTAAAAAGATTATATGGTATGTCTTTTAATATTAGGCGTTTAATGAAAGAAGCATTGAATGATAATGACTTTGATTTTTTAAGTTGTGAGTATGATGTAGATGAACTTAGTTATACAGTAACACATGCAATTAGAACAATGGGCTTGTTTAAAAAGGAAATAGGAAATAATATATATAATGAAAAAACAGCTGATAAAATAATAAAAAGAATTGAAGAAGAATTTTATAATGAATTATAATAAAGTTGAACTCATAATATAATTATAACATGCAAACATTTATATGTTATAATTATAGTGTAGTTTTCCCGCATAAGCCGTGGGGGTGCTTTCCTACATAGGCCTTTCCCATCCGCATTTTGCCATCCATATTTTACTGGGATTGTTTTCAAGATTTGGGTTAACGGTTTTAATTCTCCCTTTTCCATTGGTTAACCATTTTTCGGGGAGTGATAATCGACAATGTGTTATTTGGATGGGAAAGATTGGGTTTATTCATTTTTTAGGTATGTAATCTTGAAAGATCATTTAAGGACATGTATTCATAGCATAATATGGAGAACTCAGAGTGTAGCAGTTGTAGAGTCAATAAACCAATTACTGAATTTAACGGGTTCAAGACATGTAATAAATGTAGAGCGAAGAAGCGAGAGAGGACAGCGAATAATGGATATTTGTATTGTCATGTTTGTGAAAGAAGAGTGAACCCAGAGATTTGGGATTTCCATTTGGTTGGAGGTTGTCACCAAGATAATATGCTCAAACATCTCAAAGCAGATTATCAGAGATTAGTTGAAGACGCACCTACACAAGAATTCAAGGACAATTTTTTTCAAGAAGGTCAAGAGAGGATACAAGAACTCAAAATGACAATGCCTTTGTATAATCCAGCTTTGAGAAGAAAGAAAGTTGATCAGGTTGATGGTGAATTGGACTAAAACATGAAGTTGATCATTAGAATATTATGTTTCTAATGATTAACTTAGAGGGTTGTTCAATTTGGTGGTTTTGAATGGTGTAATTTGATAGGGGATTTTAAAAAGTGCTTGAAAGTGTGGGGGGGGGGGGGTAGGACAATGCGGACGGGAGAGGCCATCTCTAACTCTAAGGTCCCCCAGTAGCGCCCTTTCTCACCCTTTTTTGGGGGAGGGTTCCCCTTCTACAACAGACCACAGAGAAAAGGGTACCCTTATTCCAACCTCTCTACTGGAGGACCAAGGGGAACGCGGGAAAATAATTGGAGGGGATCCATTCCCCCCAAGGCTCTATACCCCCAAAAGACAAGGCCGGATCTGCCTCGGGCTGGATCCGCGGGCGGATGCCGATTTGGCTCTTCGGGCCCAAGAGCTGTCGCCTAAGAGAGGCCCAGCAGGTCATCGATGAGGCGGCGGCTTTTTAGAGGGAAAGAGACTCGGTGTGTGTGTGTGTGTGAGGTGGACATGTTGCGTGCTAGTTGATTCGGTTCTTGGACCTTGCAATTGTATGCCTTTGTCGGGAACTGTTGTTTTCTTCTCGCTAACCTACGAAGGTATGTTTTTTTTGTGCAGGGGGAGGCAATATCCACCATAAGACTTAGACTCGATGTCGCAAGTTCAATTTCTTAACAATAATTGATAATTCACCCTCAATTCAAGGTTGCAACAATAGCTTTTCGATGGTCACCATAGAAAAATCAAGGTGTTCAGGCCGCATTTGGTCTTAATCCCCCCGACAGAGCGTTTTTTGCTACTAACCTTTGCGGGGGTCTGGATTGGCCGGGTCCCGATGACATGTTCCTTTGTGATTGATTTGGACTTGGGCCTTCCTTTGGTGGACTGATACTTAAACCGTGGATATGCAAGAAACGCCAAATCGGGCTGCGGCTGGAACAAAATGCTTCTCCATGGGAGGGTAAGTGAAAGGACACAAGGTTTGACTCAGATGCTGTTTTTTCGCGCCGGGAAACTTGGTTTTTCTTTTTGCGCACTTGGATTGTTGAGACGATCGCCGTGGTGGCAATCCAGGAGCAATTGATTTGCCGCAGAGAGAGAGCGCCATGCGTTGTTCGGGAGGCGGCTGATTGTTTGGTCCGTGGATGACATGGTTCTGGGCAAGTTCTTGCGACTTCACGTAAGAGCCCGTTGGGGCCAGTGATCTGGTCCAAATCACCCAGCTGTAATTTCCCGTGTCTTTGCCCACTTTGGCTTTGCCTCTGGCATGGAACGGTTCTGGATTTGTTTTTGCAAAACGGGGGGGTCTGCCCTGCTAACCAACGAACTCTTCCCCTTCAGAAGCCCTTTGTTGAAGTGCTGTGTGTTTGGCCGAGGCGAGCCCCTTTGGCATCTTCTGTTCAAGTAGAGGCATCCCAAAGCCAAAGCCACACCTCCTTTTTGAACCCGTTTGGTGTTCGTTTGTTTTTCTTTGGAGGCACACACCAAAACCACAAAGGCAATCACAAAGTGGGCAAGGGGAAGTGCAGCACGAAGTCCAGAGCCGCCTGCCTCCAAATCCCCCGAGCACCACGGCCGTGTTTGTTTGCTCAAATGGCTGTGGTTGTCAAAACCAATGGTACAGTTTGGGGTGGGTGCACCACCCGTTTTAGAACCTATTTTAGTGGCTAAAGAACCATCAAAACCCAGCTTTTGAGGATTTGAGCCCAGTGTCGCAGGAGACATCTAGAGAGGCTCTGGGGGTACGGGATTCTGACCAAATAGCCACATTGCTTGAGAAATCAGACTCCATGGGCCAGATTGCTGGAGGGTAAACCTCAAGGCGCCTTTTTTGATGTTCACCAGGGGTACAGGGTTTTGACCCACAGCCAAATGGAGGCATTCCAAAACCAACTCCCCCGAGCACCACGGCCGTTTCGGCTCTAGGTGCGCAGCACGGGCTGGGCGCACCGCGAGAAGCCTCGGAAGCTGCAGCGCAGCTCCAGCGGACGGCCGAAGGAGATCGACGCAGAAGACGCCGCCCGCGCCTTTGCGTCAAGGGTCGGCCCTTTTACCGTTTCTTTTTTGGTTGGGAGGGTTCCCCTACTAAAATTGACTACAGGAAAAAGGGTACCCTTATTCGACCTGTCATTATTTTATTGTACAGTGGATGGGCGAGAACCGTTTCGCACCACTTGAAAACCCTAGGAAGCCATGGGTGGGTAATATTGATTGGGGAAGTCATTATTAATGGCACCCCCCTATTAATCAACCCCTGATTATTAATATGGGAGCGGGTTTTTAGTGGAGAATCAGACCGCTTTTGGAGGGGTGTCCCCCCCTATGAATAAACTGGGGTTGATTAAAGTGGGGGTCAACACTACAAACACAGTGGATGGACGAAAACCATTTCGCACCACTTATAGGAAACCATGGGGAATCATTATTCTAGGGTTTCTTAGGTGGTGCGGGATTTCGTCCGTGCACAGTATGTAGGTTCGTCTCAACCTGTAAAGGGGTACAAACAAACACACACAAACACAATCGTCAGTCATCAGTTTGTCTATTTTGGAGGAAACCGAGATAGAACTGGCAACGTTTCCCTGTAAGTTTTTATGTAGGGGGGTGAGAATTGGGAACGCCAGTAGGCGAGTGACTCAAATCGAGTTTGGCAACATGTCAGGGGTCCCTACTTTGCGTGGGGGGGACAAAGTCCCGCACAAGTTGGTAGATGGTCTACCCCAGGATTGGCTTCATCCATCCCCAAGTGTTGCAGGAATTTGTCCATTCACAAAAATGTTGTCCCAATTTGGCGTCCAAGACAGCTAACCTATAAGCCTTGGTTGTTTGTTTCTCTTGGGAGGTGGGACTTTCATCAGATTCTCGGATCCCTAGTGTGCTGGTCCAAACTGACAGTTCAAGCTTCCAAAGCCTAGGTTTTGAAGCAGAGGTCGACATCTCATGCTTGTTTGTCCACTTTGTCAATACTTATCATTTCTTCCCCGATGGCCCGATGGCCCTTGCCTATCCAAGGACTGCTGCAGCAAGACAGCCACGTTTTTGTGGACATCCGCTCAGAAGGCGCGCACCCACTAGAAAGCAGGAAGCAGGTTGAAAAGGATTTGCCCACTGATTGGGCGGGCAAATGGAGCTCACCATGATGTTGATCCGTTGCTTCAAACCATGACCATAGCCGACATTAGGAGTTGGACCATGGCACATATGTTTGTTGGCTTCCAGATATTTGCGATGTTTGTTCCGCTTTTGCGCTTGGCAACTGTATGGCTGGGTGTCATATCGAGACTTCCATTCATTGGCTTGATGCTCACAAGACGTGTCCCTGGATCTGACGTGTTTCCGACTTGTTTGATTCTGCCGAAGCTAGTAGTCCAAAGCGAATCGACCTTTCAACCTTTGGGCCCTCCTGACTCGGAAACGTTTTTTCTGGGTTTGGGGCATCTGAGTTCCCGGACCTTGGAGGGAGGCTCTTTTTTGATGTCATTTTCCCAAAGATCCCCTCCCCTCCCAGCGACTGGAGGTTTGGGCGGCCTTATTTCCAGAGCTCGCCGTCGTCCCAGTCTCAAAATCCTCCACTTGCAGGGACTTGTTTGCCCACCCAGGGAGCCCTTCAACTCCACAAGCGTCCTTTGTAAGTTAGTTTGCTTAGAAATAGGTTTAGATGGTGGTCATCTCATTTACCTGGGGAACCCATCTTTTTCCCAAATGGCCACCTAAATGTTCAAATCCCTACTCGGCAAGAGAAATGGATTCCCCGAAAGTTTCATTGATCTTCCGGCAGCGATTCTCGGCCTCGCGCAGGCGGATGCGCTTCGGCCATTTCCCTTCCGCACCCGGCGGAGACGGAGGCTTTGGCCGCCAGAGAGGAGGAGGACTTGCCGCTCGCTCAGTGAACACAACGTTTGGGGGGCACTACTTGGACGATCGTGGCGTTCTCCCTGCAGGGCCATGGGTCAAAACCCAAATCGTGCCCCCAGTGAGCATCCCAATCCAACCACTAAAATAGGTATTGGTTTTGATCCACAGCTATATTTCTTCCCCCTGGAATCCCAAAACCCTATTATTTTGATGTCCTGGGGGGTTGAAAGGCCGGCATATTTAGGGTCTTGGGATACTAGGACATTGAATTGTTTGATCATCGCCTGTTGAGGGCATTTAACGTGAGCTTCCGTTTGAAGGGATGAGGTTCATAGGGGAAATATAGGGGACCCTGTCGGATTTTCAAAGTTGGGCGCTGGCTGGGGTCAGTTCCATGGCTGGAAGCTACCTACTAAGTGGCCACACTCAGCGACCTGCCAAAGCACACCTAGCCAAAGCAAGCAATTGAAACGCAAATCGAAAGACGTTGGATCTACTTTTGTGACACCCCGAAAGCCAAATCCGAGGCGGGAGCCCTTGGGACAATGGGTTTACTTCTTAAGTTTCGCAACATAGGGACGAGTCAATGCTATAGGTTTTGGTGGCGCAAGATGATTTACGTAGGGGATTCCTGGAATTGGGAAAGAAGGGTGACCCGTGTAGATCTCCATTTAGACCTGAATTGTTTGTTTTACAGAATTGGAAGGGCCCCACTTGCCGGGGGATAACAACTGTGAGGGTTACGAACATTAGAAAGAGCTTTGTGGCTAAGTGTAAGTGTAAATCACAGGGCTTAGGTGTGAGCATTCATGGACCCCCTCGGACTACTCATCTACATGCTTATGTCCGCACATGTCATGCATATAATATATGTATATATATATATATAGATGCATGACATGTGCGCCTTGCGTTCTCTGTTCCATGCATATCGGCGTTGTCGCTCGTCAAAATAGGTAAGGGGCAGGCGCTGAGGAGTAATTTGTATTCATATCGATGTGTATGTCTATCTATTGTTTGTCTATCTAATTAACTTATCTATCTATCTACCTACCTACCTATTTAATCCGCGGATAGGGATGGATCCCGTCACTGGATTTCGCGCAAAGGTGATCAATTATTGAATGCTACTGGGTCTTCTTTGCAGACTTAACTTGTTGATGGACATCAAGGGTTTTCCGTTGAACCCACAAAAGTGAACAACGTTGCAGAGGGGTCACCAGCAGCCAAGTTTTGGAGGTTCAAAACGGAACAACTAGACCCCGGATCCCCTCCTCAATGAAAATGAAAAGAACTTAGCCAGGTTTGAAATTTAACGGGACCTCGTCACATAAATTCCGCATGGCCTCACGATCTGAGGCTGCAGCTCTGTGAACGTCTAAACGCTTCTTGGCGTTTTCATGCCTTTGGCCCCGAATGGGCCGGATTCCTCTCGACCCGTGGGTGGTTTCTCCCAGACTTTGTGGCTGGAGTCTCCTCCAAAATTGCTTTGTACTGAATACGTTGGGTCAGAAGATGTCAGAAGATCTGATTGTTTAGAGATGCGGGACAAGTGCATTGGGTTTCCTCCAGCCCAACGGATGCAGGAGTTTGTCCGCATTTTGAGCTGACACGAGCTTGCCACAAAGGGGATCCCGTAGCAGCACCAGCCAACCACTGCTTTTTGAGCAAAAAAACGTGGGATTTTGACATGAAAACTGGCTGGTGCGATAGGCAGGGACTGAGGGAAGGGGATCCCTGGGGTTAAGCATCCATAGCTCCAACCCCCATACCTGGCATTGTTCCCAAAAGGGTTCCCTTGAAAGTCCAGGACGGACCAAATGTACGCTGGACATGACAAATCTTGGTGGCTCCCAGCCATCCGGTTCCTTAGCTTTTTAGCTTGTTAGTGTTTAGTACTTGGGGTTCCATTTAACCCAGTAAAAGTCAAACTTTGAGCGGGGGATCTGAGGACAGCCCAGAAATAACAATATGTGCAACAGGGTCGCGAGCGTCGCGGGCTTTAGATTCATTATGGATCCAAAGAGTCGGAAGCCGGAAGGTCTGTTCAGTAAGCCCCCACTTGTTTGCTTTGTTGCCCTTGCACTTTGCATTCTCAGCCTTGTGGTCAAGGCTGAAGTGGGAGCTGCCAGGTGGTGTGGTTAAGGAAGGGGCTTCCCATTGACCAAAACTAAATCCAAACCACCTGTTAGAGGACAGGAATGTGCTGGGAGTGCAGTCGCGGAAGGCGCTGCCCCGCAGAAGCTTCGCGAAAGGCTTGTGTGTAGTACACTGTTAAACCGAGCATTGCAACCACAGAAGCGGAAATTCAGCTTAAAAGAAATCAACACGCGCCCTCGCACGCCGTTTTAGCAAAAACGTGTCCGCAGGAGCGACGGTTCACACCGCGGAAGCTTGGCAGAAGGCTTCGCGGAAGGTTGAACAATGTCATCAGGAAAATAAGATAAAGAACAAGGCTCGCCTGAAGCCTCATATTGTTTCCCATCCATTCCCGTTCCCATTCCACCCCCATTTGCTTCGCTGAATTGTGTCTTGTTCGGATTGAAGGCGAAAGGCGCCATGGTGGTCTGTGGCGAGGACTCGATGCTGCAAGAAGCGAAAAGAGAAGAGGGGTTAGCTCGATCGCCAGTTGTTTCTTTTTCTCCATGCACTTTACCCCAAAAACCAGCAACAGTGACTGAACAAAAAGCAGCAACTTGGCTATCTAGGTAGCTGCCCAGTGGATTCCGCCCTTTTTTCAGCTTTTGTGTTTGGGTTTTTGGGTTCCGCTATAAAGTCCACCAAGCAAAAAAGGATGCCCTTTTTTTCCAATGGCCACTGAGCATTTGAGGCACTTCTCCGATATGGGTGTGTTTGTTTTCCGGAGACCCCACAATTCGTGGCGTTCCTTTGTTCATTCCGCTTTAAAACCGCACTAAAAAGAAGGGCACCCTTCCTCCCACATTGCCATGGCACCTGAGGGAGGGTACCTGGAAAAGATCGGTTTCCTTTTGGAGGGACCAGCTGCCGTGGGCCATGTGGGAGAGAGGGCAGGGTACGATTCTTCCAGAAACTTTTGCGATCGGTGCGATAGGGAATGACAACGAGTCCGCGTTTTGGGGTCTCCCTAGGAAACCAACTCGGGGAGCCAGGTTTCGAATCCGGCACAGGTTGGAATTCCCCAGCTGCAACCAGTTTCATGAGAAGGGTTCTCTTGGTGTTTGATAAGTGTCCTATTGGTTCGCTGCGTTTTGTTTTCTTTTCCTAAGGTTTGTTGGAAAAATGCCTCAATAAGGACTCCTAAACCTGTGCTGTCGCTTCCTTCCTTGGCTTCCCACAAGTCACGGTCTGAAATGGTGACACGTTCATTGAATGGAAAAGGGACAAACAGAATGCCATTGAATAGAGAACGGAATCTGTGTATACATATATCTCTATATATGTGTGGTGTGCGTATGCTTGTATACACGATACAAGCATGTACTTTAGATGTCATTGGCCGCGAGTTGAAAGTTCCGGGGGTGTTGCCGTCTTTGTGGTTTTGGGCGCGAGGACGAGGAAGCCACCTGGGACGCCGCCATGCTGCTGGGTGGATATTTCCGCATCTGGCCCACAGAGATGACGCTGAGCTCGAGATCCAAGAAAAGAAAACAGGAATTGTGATTCCTCACTCCCTGAGTTGCTGGACTTTAGTAAACTTAGCTAGTTTTTGGGAAGACAGAGGACCCCTTTTTAGACCATTTGGGGGTTCCTTCTCACTCCCTGAGATCCGTTTCGGACGTTTCGGATCGCCGTTCGCCGCCCGTTCCGAGGACGGTGCTCCAAGGCGCTGCGTTCCTCGCTTGGCAGCAGTCGGCGACGGCCAAGAAAAAAAGCCGCGCTCGAGCGCGCGCTTCGCCAGGTCGCCGAGGTGACCGATTTTGCCGAGGTCTTCTGGGGAATGTTTCCCCGGAAGTTGCTTCCCTTCTCTACTAGGTCCCCCCGGTAGTGCCTTTTTACCCTTTTTTGGGGGAGGATGCCCCTACTAAAATAGACTACAGAAGAAAGGCTACCCTTATTCTGACCTCTCTACTGGAGGACCTAGTCCAAGTCAAGATCAGTTTTCTTAGTGGGGGTTGCCTGCCCCACGGCTGTAAGTTAAGATCAAGAAATTGACATGAGTTTGTGTTTAGAGCAGGCTTTAATGGCTAATGGCTTCACCTGACCTCCAAGGGAAACAAACAGTCGCTCTCGTTTAAAGCTGCCCGACAACGAAGGAACGACCCTTGTTTGGAGCCTCAAACAACCCCTAAATATGTACAACAATATTGGAGAGTTCCCCACATTGTTCGTTGGCAATACCCGATCTTGAAGACGAAGCCACCCGTTTTGTCGTGGCAAAGGTGTCCTCCAGTTGGTCCCTTCAGGTTCTGTGGCCCAGGTTTGCTTTTGGGAGGCGGGTCCGCGTCGACCGAAGCTTGGCTTTCAAGCGCGCAGCCCCGGTTCAATGATGGCTCCTGTGACGTTTTGCGGGGAGTGGTCCTGGCCGAAGAGGTTCCTAATTGTCCATGTCGTATGGTCATGGCAGAGCCGGGAACGCACCTGTTTAAACTGTTGCTTGCACCTGGAAGAATGTATGTGTTTTTTTGTTTTGCGGCGCGTTGCAGCAAGCTGGGCTTTCCATTCTATGAGATTGTTGGCGGATGAGAATCCTGAGTGGTTGGCGATTCAGCTAAGCTCAGCAAGCATGCAGCAAAAACTCCCAGACCATCCAAGACCTTTTTGAGCGAACAAGCTATGCCATCTCAGTAATTTCGGTGTGTGGGATTGCACCCACTTCTTAACTTGATCATTTCCTCCCCAGAATTAGTTCCCCTTATATTTTTTGCTTTATTGGGGTCCCCTTGTTTTCCACTAACCAGGCCAAAAAAACAGTTTTTGCCGGGGTCCTAGTTCCAGCCAAGATTTTGTCTTCTCTTGAGGCACCTGGTGCTTTTTGGCGTGCCCTAGCAATGCGCACAGGCGGGGGCTCTCAGTGAAGGCCCTTCTTGGGCCGCGAACTTCACGCAAGCAGGCGACATGATGGTTACTGGCTAAGAACCCACTTAGCAAAGTTGAGCTCCAATATTCCCATTTTGTCACCCAGCTTGAGCAAACCTAGTTATGACATGGCTTGTTTCCATTTGCTTGTCCTGCGCGCGCAGTCCTTGTCTGAAATGACCTGCCAAGCACGGAAACACATTGGCCACTCAAGGAGTTTCCCGGGTGAAAGTAGATGGTACAATTCTCTCATTTGAATTTGATCATCCCCTTCATTTACCCACAAAAAAGGACATGTAGGATATGTGTGTGTACCATCTGCATTCACCCTGTAACGGACTCTGGAATTTCAGTCAGGTCCTTCGACTATCTTCGACTCCTTGCGGATTAATGTTTTTTGGTTTCATCGCTGGAAAGGCAAAATGGGCCCTTCCAGCTGCATGGAAAGACTGGAGCGACAGCTGTCCCACAGTCTCCCCACAGCCCTCTTGGCAGGGGCCTTAGACAGGTGTTGTGAGCGGTAGAGTCTGGAAGTTGCTCGTTGGCTGCCTTTGGCTTCCTTTTTGCTTCCAATTGGCGTACTCATTTGGCCCAAAACACGCAATCCCATGCGAGGAAGTTTCATTCTGGCATATTCTGGCATGCGTGTTTTGTTTTTGAGTTGTTTTCACTCGTGGCATGCATGTTTTCGTGTTTACAGGTTGTTTTTGACTCTTGGTCGGGGCTGCTAACAAACACTTGTTTTCTAACATGCCAGGGGTTGTGAAGCTCTTGACCGGGCATGAGCCTTGCAAATCTAAATCTAAGCTCAGGACAGAATGAGCTGGCGGATGATGAATGTTCCCTAGGCAGTTTTCGTTTTCGATTTGTGAATTTGGAATAGTGTGTGGAGAGCCTTCAATTTGGATTGAATTAATTTGTCCAGAGCCATTTCCCAGACCTTTCTTTGGCTGGGGAGCAGCTGTCCCGATGGTCGCATGTACGGGTAGGCGATTCCTGGGCTAGGCCCAATGGGCTCGCCCGTTTCGAGGATCCGGGCATGGCGTCGCATTGGAAGCAACCCGGAGCCAAACAAAACAAAAAAAACATTGGGCAAACCAAAAAAAACAAAAAGAATGAGACCAAACCAAACATAGGTGTCAGTTTTTGGTTTTCTCTGTTTTTTTTGGGCTTCTATGAGCTCAGTTGAAACATAGTATAAAACTGTAGAAAACATCTATTGAATGTTGCAGTGGTTAAATCTTTCCAAAGCTCTATAAATCCATAAAACAGTGAAATTCACACAAAACCTAGGTTTTGCAGCAGTTTTCACAAGGCGTGTTAGGTACCATCTACAGAAAACACTGTAATTTACAGTGTTTTGTGTCAACCCAGATACATAGCCAAGACGAAAATCATCAACTTGAGGCGTCAAAAATCATTCGATCAGTTATGGCTGTAACCAGCATAAAAACACATCACAAACCACCGTAAATTACAGTGTTTTCTTATAATTTTGCAGGCAAGGTAGTTCAGAGGTAGTTCATGGGGTGTGTGTGTGTGTGACCATATATATATATACATTATGTACAAGACGGACATGTATGTTGCTTTCTGAGCTCGGGCTTTTCCAAATGGGAGCCATGGCCAACTGATTTGCAATGTGATCTGGCCACGTGAGAGCCTCGATGCGAAAGGGCTGCGCGAGGGCACCGATTTGATCCCGGGGGACTGGCTCCCAGCCTCCTCGTTTTTTTTTTTTGGGTTGAATCCCCCCAAACTGATGGGTTTCCTTTTGGTTTCCTTTTGGTTTCCTTTTGGTTTCCTTTTGGTTTCCTTTTGGTTTCATTTTGGTTTCCTTTTGGTTTCCTTTTGGTTTCCTTTTGGTTTCCTTTTGGTTTCCTTTTGGTTTCCTTTTGGTTTCCTTTTGGTTTCCTTTTGGTTTCCTTTTGGTTTCCTTTTGGTTTCCTTTTGGTTTCCTTTTGGTTTCCTTTTGGTTTCCTTTTGTTTTCCTTTTGGTTTCCTTTTGGTTTCCTTTTGGTTTCCTTTTGGTTTCCTTTTGGTTTCCTTTTGGTTTCCTTTTGGTTTCCTTTTGGTTTCCTTGTGGTTTCCTTGTGGTTTCCTTGTGGTTTCCTTGTAGTTTCCTTGTGGTTTCCTTGTGGTTTCCTTGTGGTTTCCTTGTTGGTTCCTTTTTGGTTCCTTTTGGTTTCCTTTTGGTTTCCTTGTGGTTTCCTTGTGGTTTCCTTTTGGTTTCCTTTAAGCCACAAAAAAGGGCGCGCCCTCGAAAATAGGACACGCGCATACTGTGGATTCGCCAACTCCCGCACCACTAAAGAGACCGTGGAATGACGATTCCTGTGCGCAAGGGATTTCGCAGCCACCCACACAATGAAGGGGTTGCTTTGCGTGGTGCTCAGTAGAGAATTGGTGTTCAGTAGGGGATGAGGGAATGAACGCAGGGGTCCCCTCAAAGGAACCCCCCCTGGTTGGTTTAAATCGGGGCCTTCCATTTCTGGACCCAAGTCATCACCCAAACATGGGCTTCCCCAGGCCCGGGACATGGGTCAGGGGGCAGACTCCGGTTTCCTTTTGGGGCTTTCCACTAGCTTCAGGAGATGGAGACAGAGATCCAAAACTCGAGGGTGCTTGTTGAATACTCGCTTCCAACAATAATACCCACCTAGTGAGACTAATATTCGCCTGGTATCACTTTTTGTTGTTGTGTGCTATTGTTGGGTACCATCCGGGGCAACGAGGATCGCATTCCGGCTGCTCATAAGGTAGGGAATGGGTTCATGGGGGAACCTCTTTTAGTGGGGATCCACCAGGACCACTCCTCGAGGGAACACCCCCCTATTCATAGTTTATGTTAGCAGTATTATCATTTGTTTGTTTAATTATTATTATTATTGTTTATTGTTATTTTTATTATTTATTCAATTTATTGTCATCATTGCTTGGGTTCATCCAGGGTGAACCTGCAGAGGAAGCTCACGGTCCGTCGGTCCGTGAGATCTCGATCGGGCCTGTGGCTTTGGGCTCGAGACGCGCCCGAGACGCGCATTTGAGATCGAACGGATTCATCGGGCGCGGGCCTCGAGGTCGAAGCGCTGACAGATCCCGGAAAATGAAAAATATCATGAGAACCCGAAGGCTTCGGAAGGGGGACTCTTAGGCAGGGACACCAAGAGATGAGCAGACACACCCCACCCCTTCAACTTGGTGGTCTTTGGGAAACATTTTCTCCATTTTTGCTTATTGTGGTGTAGTGGTGGACATCCAACCACTTAATTGCTAAAATGTGAGAATTGTTGCTCCCCTTCCAACGTCAAGCAAGTTTCCATAGGTGTCCTTTTTGGTTGGTTTGCTTAAAAAATAGAGGGCTTATTCCAGTTTACCAGGGCCATCTAGTTTCCCAAAAGGCCGCCTATGCTCCCATGGACCTTTAGACTCTTGGGAAGACCATTTTGGTAGTACACGAAAAGGTTTTGGCAAGATAGCCACTAGCCCGTGTATTCCAAAAGGAACCAAAGGGGAGTGGCAGTTGTCGAATTTTGTCGGACGTATTTGGCACAGCGCCTACGCGGGGCCTTAAAAGACCCCAGTTGTTCAGTGGCATCCGATTTCCCTTTTAGTTTGGCCGACTCTGTGTTATGAAAAGTCAAGTCCAAACACTCAGTCGCCCAAAGCGAATCGACCTTTTGACCTTTTGGTCTCCCCGACCTAATCCAATTTTAGTCAAGGTCCCAAAAAGTGATTACCTCTTTTTTTTCTGGGACCCTTAAGAGGCAACTGAGACAAGGTTCCCTAATGAACCAGGACAACTGGGAAAACTGAAGTCTAAATCTTCCAACCCAAATCCACAACTCCAAACGCATTTAATCCAAATCCATCCAAACCATTTTTTCCCCAATCCAACTTCTTCCCTTTTTTTGGAAGCTTCGGGGCAGGGGGGGTGCTCCCAATGGCCATGAGATATTAGCACTTGGCGTTGTGCAAGGCTGCTGAAGAGCTGAGGTACCAGTCATGCGGACCTTGGCCCTGGTCATTTCCTGCTGGCTGCTTGCCTGAACAAGCCAAGTGTCGCTCGCAAACCTGCGCGGCGGGCGCGGCGATGTTAAGGGAGTGAGCACATGTAAAACGAATGGCAAAAGGAGCGCATGGTTCTTTTCTTTTTTTTTTTCTTTTTTTTTTCCGGGAGCGTGTCTGTTTGTTAGGGGAAGCCCCCAGGTAGGTGTCCCCTTTAAAACCCCAAAGGGGTACCCTCCAAAAATGAGACACCCATTTTCCTCTGAAATTTTGACACCGAGCCTTCAAAAAAATGCAGGGACCGGAAACCATTAACCAGCAATGAGTTTCAGCTATTGGATTTCTTCCCCCAAGGACTGGCCGGGTCTGGATGCAACCTCACACAGCACAGAAACATGGGTCCGGTCCCCCACCACCCTCGTCAGAATAAAACCACAAGATGATGGATCCTCATGTGGCTGGCTGTTATTTGGAAACCCCAAAGGCAACCAACAATGTTTGGGACCACTACGTTAATAAACACACGTTCTAGATACATGTAGATATATATATATATATATATATTGTTCATATGTGTTTATTGATTTATGTGTTTACTTAGTTGTTCATTTATTCATGTATTTTGTAATTGTCTTGCATGCTACATATACTTCTAACTGGTGACACTAAAACCATATAACAACTCGGAGGTAGTGGCTGGGGTGAAACTACGCATCTTAGATGGCAAAACCGTTTCGGTGAGACAACACGAAACCAATTGGCCATGGGTCAAAAGCCCGTATCCCCAGTGAACATCCGAATCCCCACTAAAAAAGGTTCTAAAATGGGTGGTGCCCCTACCCCAAAATGGTACCAAAACGGTTTTGACCCACAGCCACTTGACTGAAGCGCCTCCCGTAGGACCGGCGCGCACGCCTCGCTGCAGAAGTCCTTCGCGCTCTCATCGGCGGAGGCGCTGTCGGCGAAGGAGGCGGAGAGGTGCGAGCTCAGCCGGGAGCAGACGCCTGGCAGCCCCGCGCGTTCCTTCGCACAGAGCGTCTGAGGTACGGCGAGCTCACCTAGGTCCCCCAGTAGTGCCACCCTTATTCTATCCTCTCTACTGGATGACCTAGTCACAACCCCCCAAAGAGGGGACCCCCAAAAACAGGCACCCTATTAGCCCCAAGGGCTCTGTGCCTTCGGGGTAAGACGAGCTCAGTTGGTATGTACCAGCACCCAAAGATCGCGTTTTGGACGGTGCTTGGAGGGGAAAAGAAGCTGTTGATGTTCATGGGGGGTGCTGGTAGGGATCAATGGTTTCGGAAGTTTTAGGCTTTTGCCCAAAAGTTACCGTACAGGCGACTGGCAGTCACCGGATAAGCAAGAATATTGTTCTTAGCGTTTTGTTGAGTTTGTTTTGGCCCAAACAAAAAGGCTTGTTGTAGGTCAAAGGGAATCTGAGTCATGTGAGGGTGATGGCGCATGTTCGTTGGACGTAACTTTGCCCCAACTGGGGGTCCTTCATTTTCGCCTTCGATCAGCAAACACCGGGGGCCAAGTTTGTACCAGTTGCTCGTGTGCTGCAGCTCCTCAAAGTCCATTTCATGTTCTTTTGTCACCAATGGAATCAACCAAACAAAGCCGGTTCAATCGGCATAGCAAGATCACAAGCCAAATCAGGGCCGCACAGTCCACATTCGATGTGTGTCTTTCCATTGGTTCCGCAACGGCTATGGGGGGTGAAAATCCGCCCAGCCCTGGCAAAGATAGGTCCCACTAGGGCCATCTGACAAAAATGCTTTGTCCCCCAGAAAAGGACTGTGACTGCCGAAACGGACACCTCACAAAGACGACCCTTAAACAAACCACGTCGCTTCCCCCCCTCAAAAAAGATAAAGGGAACAAAGGAAGGCCAACCCTCCCAAAAAGAAGTAACCTGCTGGCTGACCTTTTCCTTTTTCCCAAACCTCAACTAAAACCCGCCGCACCGTGCGCAGCGCCGCTCCGAGCGAAGGAAGTGGCAGGAGGCCAACGAGCTCCGGGCGGCGCAGCTGCAGAGCAGCTCCAAGACCCAGGAGCCCTTCTGAGAGAGCGGGAGCGAAAGCGGGGGACATTTGTTGGGGGGGTTGTGCTTATGTTTTTGTAGGAGTTCCAATCTATGTGATTGTTTATTTATTATATGTTTTTTGGTTGGGGGGGGGAGAGGTGTTTCCTCTTTTGGGGCTGTGTGTGTGTGTGTGTGTGTTTGTTTGTTTGTTTTCTTTTTGGGTGGCTTTTGGGTGGTTTTGTTGTTTCGCATGGTTGTCGGGCGGCCCTCCGTTTGGAGGTTGTAAAGGGGCAGGAACATCCGCATTTTCCAGCTTCGCCTGGGCGACACTTCTCATGAGGCAGGGTTCCACACGTACGGATGCAGGGAACTAGGACACATGATACGTCCAGCCCATTGGTGGCCTCCTTTTCTTTTCGCGCAATTCATGCTGCCTGGTTCCGCTCATGCGTCGTTATCGCATGCAAAACGGTGCCGTTCCGCTGCCAGTTATGCAGCCCATCCACGTACATCTAGCGGATAATGTTAGCCTCAGCGGTTCGGGTTGTTCCATGGGAAAGTGTCCCGCTTCTTTTTGCGCTAAGAAATGGGAAGCACAACACCCGGGAACACCAAACCAATCCAAACCACTCAGAGCAGAGCTGAGCCATGCCTTGGGAAGCAGTAATGTTGACCCCATATCAATCAACCCCAGTTTATTCATAGCGGGGTGAAAACCCCTCCAAAAGGTCTGATTCCCCACATCTCACCCAGGGAGAGCACCCCCTATGAAGCTAAACTGGAGTTGATTCATTTGGGGTCAACATCACTAGGTGATGGCTGATTAATACTGTGGATGGACAAAATCCTGCACCGCTCTGAAACCATGGGACACCATTGCTTGTTGGTATTTACAGGTCAATCATCAGAAGCCAGGGTTTCTTAGTTAGTGCCTAAGAGGATTCGCAACCATCCACAGTACGGAAACCCAGCCACGAAACAAACGAAACATCTTAAAACCTAAGGAAACGGATGGCAATGGCTGGTGGTGGGGTTGATTAATATGGGTTCAACATGAAGCGCAGGAGAAGCGGCTTGGGGACCTTCACTTGCAGCTCATGGGCAAGGAAAGGCCCACGGAGGACGCGGCCCGGGGCTTGCATGACCGTTTGGGGTGGGTATTGGTTTCCTTGCGTTCCCAATCAGGGGGCTGGTTTCTTTGAGGGACCCCTCGAAAGTGGTAGGTGTCCTCCTGGTTTGGCTTCAAAACCGCTCAAAAAGGGGGGGCACCCTCAAAAAAAACAGAGCCACATGTTCCCCAATCTGGATTGAACAGCTGCCAAGATTAAGTGAGGTTTCCTGTGGCGGGGTGATGTTTCAGGGCGGGATAGGAATCCATGATTCGGATGGACCAACATGACGTTGTGTTCCCTTTGCTTTGCCTTTAGAGCTCACAAGTGGCATCCTCAACCAACACACATCACCACTTAGGTGTGTTGTTTGTTGTCTTGTCGAGACCAAGAAAACCGAAGCCCTTTCGGTTTCCGGGCTGAACCACAGAAGTCCAAGTCTTGAGTTTCCCTAATACCGTGGACGGTTGCGATATTTTCTGCAGCAGCGTTCAGACACCCTGGAATGAATGGATTCCCTGCAAATACCAACAACAAACAGCTTCAACCATTGCTGTCTTAGGTTGTTGCGCAAAGATTTTCGCAACCATCCACAGTATCTCAATGACATGCTCAAGGAAGATCCGTGCTGAGCAGCGTTTTCTTCCGATTTCCCCAAGCCAAATGAGGATGGGCGTTCCTTGCGTTTTGTTGTCTCTTCTTTTTCGGAGCCTTTGTTGCATCTCTTTGCAACCCATGGGCCCTTTTGGTTTTAAATGGGTTGCTTCTGATTTTCTAGATTCCTCGAAATCCAAGCTTTTGATCCAGCAAGACTCCAGAATGTCCGCGGCCGACATGTTCGTTGTTGTTGGTGGCGGATACTGCTGAATTGAACAAATACTCCCCAAGAAACTGACCTTTACTGGCTTTCTCTTGGCAGCTGTGCTTTTGGATGGTGCGGGATGGTGTGGACCCCTCGGAATCATTAGGAGTTACAGCTCTTCCAACCATGATCCGGACTCCGGACTGCATCTAAAACTGAAAGCACAAGAACCAAACCATTAATCTGAGCTCTTCAAAGGCAATCCTTAATCCTTACCTTTAGTTATGAAAGTGGCCCCCTTTGTTGTGGTTTCCGAACAGGGATTATGGAAAATTGGATTGGCCAACCCTCCGTGTTGAACAGCCCAGTGAATCTGTGAATTGGTCCTGGCTTCAAGCCCACCCCCCTCCCCCCCACAAAGCAAAACAAAACACGCAAACCTCACGCCACACCAATGCCCCACACGAGAAATTGTTTGCCGGGGGGCGGGGGGGGGGGGGGGTGGGGGCGGTGATGTCAAAGCAAGAAAAGACCCCCCGCTTTCCAACGGATCCGACCACCCCCTTTTTGAGATCCAACCCCCGCGTCACGGCTTTCCGCAAGCTGTTTTGTGTTTGGTTCTGTTCATTCTTAGGGCGCTGCAAAAAAACAAAACAGTTTTTTGCAACCATGCCAAGGGTGGTGAAGTTTAAAGCTCAATGTGACCACCGCTTTTTCGGAGGAGGAGCTGAACCTGGACCAGTTGGGCGCTGCCTTGCAGAGGAGGTGAGCGGTGACGCGCAACCAGCAAAAAATGTTTGCTGTGGGACAAAATCGAACAGTGAGGGCATCCAGCCTTTAAAGGGTGGTTTCAAACCTCACCTTTGGCTGCCCGAGACAGGGCGAGTTCCCCTTGCGACTGGGGTCGGCAAGCAAGACTGGGGTGAGATTAAGCAGCCGTTGCTTTGAAAAGATTAAGCAACCCCGCCATGACGATGATGCTTGCACATTTTCGGGGAGTGAGTGTGAGTCGAGAGATCTGTGCTTGATACATGCTTGACCTTTTGATCCTCTTTGCACAGCGGCTCTATAGCGGTTGCAAGCCCAATGTTTTTCTGGGGGTTGTGGTTTGGGGGTGGTGGTCATCGATTTTTGCCTAGGGGTCATCGGACTACCCAGGGGTTCGGTGACGGCAGGCAAGCCGACATTGATCACTTGCTCCAAGCGACGGAGGCTGCCATAGCCCGCCCCGCGCTGGCATCAATCGGGGGGTCGCTAGAACTCGCCATGCGTGGGCCGCGTGGCTTTGGATTTGTTGTGCACCTGAAAAGTGGTTGGACGCGAATATCCACCAAAGGGTCACATAGTAGAAATGAAATTCATATAGGGGGTCCTTTGAGGGAAGCCCTGTCAGGCTTCGCCATGTGCCCCTGTGCGATAGGTCACCCAATTGGTCACTACGTGAGGCTTTGGCTCGCTCCTTGCTATGACTCTGCATCAGTCTGCCTCAAAAACGAGCTCACCGATTCGATGTGCATAGGTGAACTTGATTTTGAGGATCCCTATTTTCGTACTTCGGGTTGCGGAATCGTACAAGTTTGCAGATCATGTCACACACTACTTTCAGTTGCCATGCGCAGTATGGCTACCAATGGAAAGAAAGCGCTACGAAAACTATGTGGCTGTGGGTCAAAACCAATGGTTCCATTTTGGGGTAGGTGCACCACCCATTTTAGTCTGTTTTAGTGGAGATTGGGATGTTCACTGGGGGTACAGGATTTTGACCCATGCCAAACTCCTGGCTGCCTATAGTGAATCTCTTCGCGCTTTCGTTTGCCAAGGCAAGAAGGCGGCCTTTGAGCGGCCGCCGCGTTTGGCCAGTGACGCTTGATCTTGCTCCCTGGTTCTTGGATGTGCCCTGGAAACCGAAAGCTGAAGGCCGAGCCATGGGGAACCGCCTCAAGTTTCATGGAGTTCGTGACATGAGAATCCCCTGACTCCCTGGGTTCCGTTTCGGACTGAAGGGTCGGTCACTCACCTTTTTGGGGGTTGAACCCGTTTTAGAAATGTTTTTTGGGCCAGTCCACTCAAAGGAGTGCGGGGATAAACCAAAAAAGAGACCGTTTCGGAGTTGATGACTTTAGTGGGGAACGCAGAAGAAAAGCCGCCATAGAGGCCACTGTGACACATAGGAAATCCTCCTTCAGCTCTGATAAAAGTGCTGATCAGATTCAGCAACCAATCCGGGGTCCACGGAAAATCATATTTTCTGATGTTTTCGAGGATGATTCGAGTTTTGATTGTTTGATCGACAGACCACAGCCTTGAGTTGGGAAGGGTCGAGCTGGGTAAACCATGTGTCCCGAGCCCTCGTGACAGGTGCCGGCACAATAGCTGCACGGCCGAGCTTGCGGATGTCAGAAGGCCCTTTGCGAAAGGGATGCTACAACTACCCAAGCCCCAGTGGTGTGTTGTTTTTCCGTCGGTACCCCCCCACCTTTGAGATGTTAAGGGACAACCAAAAGGAAAACCACCATTGGAAACGGGGGGTCGGGGGTCGGGTCAAAAAACAGAAACACCTTGGTAGCATTGCCAGGCTCAGCTGAACCTGTTTGCCCGCAAGTGCCCTGGAAGTGGTATCATGTTCATGTTCCCTTTCAACCAATCAGGAAACCTTGAATTGGTAGTTCGGATTGGTGGTTTGGGTGGCTTGCTAGCCGGTTGCGCCCCCTAACCTCCATACCAATCCAAAGCGCAAATTAGGAAGCCGAAGTGGATGCGGATTCCACCCTCTCCCCATTTGTGCCTAGAAATTGCCGAAAGGTGTGTTTCCTCCTGGGTGAAGGCAGGTCAGGGTTTAGGCTTTTTTGACTGCTCGCCAAGTCTCAGGGGTTTTCCATTACCTCACAAACACTACCCCCGCAAAAATATAGGGTTTGTACCTACTGTAATATGCATATAGACTATAGATCTATATATATATATATGTATAGTGATATGTGTATATTTACAAAGGTATATGTCATTATCAGATGGCTCGCTGGGGGGTAGTGGCTTTGAGTTGCACACCCTCTTAGCAATATTGGCCCTTAAGTGACCCGCAACCAACACACAATTCTGCCGGGCTCTTGTTTTCGTTGGTTTGGGATATTGGGTGTCCATGCTTATGATTGGTTGTGCTTCCTGTTGTTTTTTGTTTTTTTCCCACCCAAGTTGAGATCACGTCGTGTTTTACATACCATCACTCCCTGATTTCATGGACTTAAAACTTTTGCGAAGACCAATTTAGTGGTAAAAGACAAGTTCCTGGACTGTTGTGGCCAGTCCAGATGGGAAGTACCCTTTAGCTGAAGAGTGCTTTGAAAGCAAGGACGGCAGGGATCGCGATCCGTTGTCGTTTCTGGTTTTCGCCGCTAGGATGATGAACCAGTGAGGCAGACGGCCTCACTTGGCTTCAGGGCGGGAAACCCACAATGTGTGGCGACAGGGCCTCTAAACACGGGAAGCCAAAAGGCCCCGTCTGCGGAAGGGCCTCTGAAAAGAACCCAGGAGTTGAAGCAGGAAGGATCAAACAAACAATTGTTCGCATGAAGCGGTTGGCCCCAACCCAAGTCTTCGCAGCCGCGAGAGCCGCGAGAGCTAAAATTCGGTTTGCCGGCTTGCGGCTTTGGCAGATGGGCTCGGGGATGGTTTTGCACCCACTTCTTGCGGTGGGTTGGTGCAGTCTTTTTCAGGGTGTCCGAGCCATTTCCCTTTTTTTTTGGAGCCTTCAAAAGTGGATCGATTCCCATGGAACACAAGTCAATTGATCGACCTTGGAAATCCAGGCAGGCCATGTAGAAGTTCCTGTAATTTATACTCTTTGGGAAAAGACCACCCTTTTTAATGGCAAATAGAAAAAAAAGTTCCGGCCTTTGGGTGCCATCCACTCGGGCAGTGGGCATCTGCCCCCACGGGCCGCTGGCTTCTGACGCCCGAAACCGCGCGCGCCTTTCGTTCGGCTCAAAGAGTCGCCGGCCAGAGACCGCCGGGCTGTGGCCGGTCGGCTGCGTCATGAAGGTGGTGCGGGAGTCCAAGTTCCGGCACGTCTTCGGGGAGGCCAGCAAGGACCATTGCAGCAGACATCTCTCTCTGTATAGACATATTTATATAAGTACATATATGCGTGTTTGTGTGTGTTATATCTATATATATAGGCATATATGTGTGTGTGTATGTATTGTATATACATATATAGATATATAGATAGCTATATATATATATATATTATATTTGTATATATTTTGTGTATATACCATATATATATATAGGCATATGTGTGTATGTATTAGATACATGTGTTGCTTCCAAAAGGGAAGTCTGGGTCGGGGGCAGAGAAGTCGGTCACCGGAGGATTGGTTTTTCCTCTGCAAATGGATGTTGGTTTGCTGGTGAGGTTTCCGTTACCAAAACGGGGCAACCTTCAAGGTGGAAACTTTAGAAAACCGGGAAAAAAGTCACGAGTTTTTTTGTTGCCCCCGGAAAAGGGTGGATCATTTTTTAGGGGTCGCGGAAAATTTTTGGGGGTCCATTCACAGGAGTCACTGGATTTCCCCTATTCATATCATTTGTGCTGGTGTTTCATGGAAACGATCGCCGCTTTTGGAGGTTCCGGCTCGCGAAGCCCTAAAGGCGTCTGATCCAGTCAGGTGGTGGAACAGACCTTGTGAAAAGTCATATTGAAAGCGACAAAAAACACCTAAGAAATCCTGGCCCCAACCATGGATGCAGCTTGGATAGCAGGGGTTATTCCCACAATGGCCATGGTTGCCACCGTACTAAGCTGACTTGAGCACCCGAGTGCCGCCACATGCGGCCACCCAGAAAGAACCGGATTACAGGTGAACCATCCGCAAGCATATCCCCGCCAAAAGGGAAATGGAGCCGTACCCCTCAACCTGACCTACACCTTGGAAATCAGACTCGTTGTTTTCCTCGTGCATAGGGCGAAAAGTGCAAAAGAAAGCCAAAATCATTTTCAGGAGAACAACATCCTCCAGTGACTGACTTCAACCACTCATGTTCAGGAGAAAGCCACCCCCAGCAACGTCTTTTGCTTTTTCAGAAGAATCAAAGCCAAACCCAAATCCATTTGTAGGAGAAAGCCCTTTTTCCCGACGAGACGCTTTCGTTTCTCGCTTTTTGGAGTGTTGTTGTGCGTTTTCATGCAACCCCCCCCCCCCCCCCGCGATGAAAATTGTTTGGTTTCTTCGGTGTTTTGGTCGTTGGTTTTTTCTCTCCGGGAAGTTCTCCTGTTTTTTTTCTCCTTGAAGGTTCCAGGAGAAGGTCCGCTGCTTGAGGCAACCCTCCACTGTGCTCGTTGGTGCATGTTGTCTTTTGGTGCCCTTCTCCGGCTGCTGTAAACAAACAGAACCGCACAGGATGAGTGAGGCACACGGCATGTCCGGGTATGTTTTGGGGACGCGTTTTCTGCGAATGCGTCAATGAGGGAAGCCAACATTTTTTTCCAAGACACACCTCAAGGCGTCTGATCCAGTCAGGTGGTGGAACAGACCTTGTGAAAAGTAATGTTGAAAGCGACCCAACAAATACTAAGAAATCCATGGTTTGGCATAGGGCGAAAAAGTGCAAAAGCAAGCCAAATCATTTTCAGGAGAACAACATCCTCCAGAAGCATCAAAACCAAACCAAAATAAATCCATTTTCAGGTAAAGCAAACCAAACCCAAAATCCATTTGCAGGAGAAAACCCTTTTTCCGGGCAAGGCGTGTTCGTTTCTCGTTTTTTTTTTTTTGTTCTTTCGCATTTGTTTTTCTCTGTGCGGCGTTTTCATGCAACCCCCCCCCCCCCGGGCGATGAACATTGATTTGTTTCTCCTGTTTGTTTTTTCCGTCGTTTTGTTTCTCTCAAATCGTTTTTTGTTTTTTCTTCTCTCGTTTCTTGGTCGTTGCTTTTTCTCCGGCCATGAGTTTGCGGTTTGTTTTCTCGGCGTTTGGTCCGGTTTTTGTTTGTTTGTTTTCTCTCGTTTTGTGGCCGTTGTTTTTTCTCCGGCCACTGGTTCGTTTTTGTTTTAATCTCCAGGAGAACTTCCAGGACCTGCGGCTGTCCTCCAAGCCCCTGGAGTCCACCGGCATCCGCGGCAACGCCAAGTTCGTGGCCTTCCCCTGGGAGCGCCTCGCCTCGACTCGGGCTCCGACTCGAGCGGCGCGGGTCGAGCGACGCGGGTGGGGCCGGTGGAACGAGGCGAAGGGGGTTTGACCCCAAAGGAAAAACCCGAGGCCGGGGAAGATGAGCCAAGGGTTGAAGGCTTTGGTGGAACTTGGGTCACTCCCTGAGTTCGTGGTGTCTTTGGACCAGTTTCTTTTTTTTTGGGGGGTTGGTTGACATTTTGCTGGCAGTCCCCAAAAAGTTAGATCACTTTTTCAGTCCACTCAGGAAAGTAAAGAAATCACAAAGGAAAGAGAAGCCATCCCCCAAACAAAGGCACCTCTAGTCACGGGAGTCCGCTTTTTATTTGAAGCTCAAAGTTGGTCAAAAAAGTATACGGGGGCCTGATCAAGCAAATGCAAGGGAACAAGGAAAGCCCCGAATTTACAACGCTTACCTTCAGGACAACCTAGTCCTTTCAAGAGAGGAAACAAACATGCACAAGTCTTCCCTTTTTGCTTTGCGGGAGCAAAGCAAGACACCATTTTATGCAGGGCTCCTTAAAAGATATGTTTGGCCATTTCAAACATGTTGCTTTTTCCACACCAAAATAAAGAAATGGAACCCACCATTTACAAGTTGCAATGCTCAGGTGTATTCACTGTAAGGATCCCTGTTATGTGTAGCTGGCTGCCTCAAGACTGCCTTGCCGGACGCCAATTTGGATCAAGCTTGGGTTCCCGGGGGCCCATGCGGGGATTTCCGGGGCCATTTGGAAGGACTGACGCCTCTCACCCCCCGAGTTCGTGGACTGGTTTTTGGCCCAGCCACAAGATCGGAAGTGAGTGTTTTTGGCTCCCCTGAAGATTTGGCCATGGGTCAAAAGCCCGGTTATCCCCCAGTGAACATCCCAATCCCCAGTAACACAGACTAAAATAGGTGGTGCACCTACCCCAAAATGGTATCATTGGTTTTGACCCACAGCCATTTACTAGCTTGGATAGATTTTTTAAACTCCTCCGCCTTGGCTAGAAGGGACGTTCCTCTGCCGAAACCGAGGTCTGGCGGCGGTGGGACGCTGGCGGTTCTTCCCAGTACCAAGTGACATGGCCAGACTTAGCCGAAGCTCACTCCCTTGAGTTGTTGAATGGGGGTTTGCATGGTTTTAGTAGAAAACAACATACGTATATTTGTGTTGCGCTGTTTTTGGCCAGCGAGTGAAAGCTCTTCACTTGCCTCTCAACTCGGTCCTGGCAAAGTGGCAAAGCTCACGTCGGAGTCTGGCAGGTATGGCCGTCTGCCCAGGGACTTGCCCTTGGTGACGGGCCATACCGGAGGCCTCAGCGAGCGGAGAGTGGTTTCTCAGTTCAAAGCGAATCGGCCTTTTCTACTTGGGGAACTGTAGCTATACTCAGTTGTTCAAAGCCGACCTTTGACCTTTTGGTTTTTATTTGCAGGTCCTTTGGGCAAGTGAGTATAAAGTCAGTAGACTTTGAGTTTCCTTTTTTGGGGGGTCGATTTTTGTTCACGTCCCCGAAAGGGTCCTTTGGACTGAGTATTGATTTGGAGGGTCCCTTTAAGGCGTCAAAAGGGTGTTGACAGGGCTGGACAGGGTCAACAATTGGATTGGAGCTCGGGAGATCAAACCACTTGAGTTTGTTTTATAGTTCCGTGTTCCTTTTGTTGGAGGACTAAAGTCAATGGAACAACCCAGCCGCCCTTCCAATTGAAATAGGATCCCTTTCTTTTTCACATGCTACATGTTGAGGTTCACTCAAATGTCTATCGAATCCAACCTATCTCCAACCTCCTGGTGTGCATTTCATGTCTCCAACACGCCCATGGTGTGGCTGAAACCCACATGTTTGCCCAAGTTAAAGCAAACGAAACGTAGAAAAAAGGCACCACCCCGCCCTTTCCTCCAAGGGAGAAGGTTCCTTTTTCCTGCATTCGGAGGCATCATGGACTTTGAGTTCAACCCTTTCGATGATAACCTACTGGTGAGCGCCAGCGAGGAGCTCTCGAGTTTGGGGGGAGCGACGGATCCCACTTGGGTGTTTGTTGCCAAGTGGCTGTGGGTCAAGTGTTGCCAAGTGGCTGTGGGTCAAAACCAAGGGGATCCCATTTTGGGGTAGGTGCACCACCCATTTTAGGCGGGATTTTAGTGGGGATTGGGATGTTCACTTGGGGGTAACCGGGATTTTGACCCACAGCCAAGTTAGTATGTTGGTAACCACTCGGTGGTAATCCACTTATAGGTCCCCAGTTCAGTTGAGCTAACTCTGTTAAACTATTACCCCACTTAAGGAGCGCTTCTCTGTTCTCGGCATGTGTTTGCGTTTCCGCTCAATGATAGTGGGGTGCGGCACAAATGTTTATTGCTAACAAACGTGGGATGGACGAAGTCCTGGACCACTTGGCACAGGAGGTTGTTGATCCCAGTATTCATAGGTCTTCCTGCTCAAAAAAGCCGGCTGCAGGATTTTCTACAGGACATATGACACATGTCACATACCCATCACACATCAAGTTGATTTCCGGTAGCTGGTGTCTTAGACCATCTCAGGGCCATTGGTCATGAAAAGTGGGGGGGGGGCCTTTTTTTGCAGTCCCGTCACTTCACATTTCAGGTTTTCCTTGGATTTGATGGGAGGACATGACCATCAAGATGTGGCAGATCCCGGAGGGCGGCCTCACCGCGCATCTCAAAGATCCCCTGCTCACCCTGGAGGCGAATTTTCCGAATTTCGCGGCGCGTGAAGAGATCCCAGCCGACGTCTGGCTTCCCGAGGAAACCGTTTGGGCATGGCATTTGTTTTTTCCAGCCGGCCTTGGCCTTCGAAGGACCACGGGCAGCTCGCCCAGGCTAAGTCCAGTACACGCAGCTTACGAACATTACGTGAGTTGTTTGTGGGTCAAACATCCGGAAACGCAAAAATGGAATGACAAATGGAAACGACAAAAACCTCTCGAGGTGGTTTGTTTAATTTTCACCCTTACCCATTTGGTTTTGAAGTACCCCACCCTGTCCGGGCCGCGGCATGGACTACCTCTGCGCCAGCTTTAGGCAAAAAAACATCAGATGGAACTCGTCAGCTTGCCAGCTCTTCCTGCGGCCAGGGCCATGGGAAGAAGGTGTCCTTCTGCACCTTCAACCCCTCTGCGGCCAACATCTTGGCCACCACCTCCTTCGACATGACCTGCAAGGTCTGGAACCTCGCGGAGCAGGCGCCGTCTCGGGTCTTCTCGGTCGTGTCAGTCGCCTCCTGTGGCTTGCATGGGGGGATCCCATGTTGTTTGTTTGAAGCTGCTTCTGGCGTGACTTTAAGGTGAGCTCGGGGTGCTTCCCCAAAGTTCCGACCACTTTGGGGATGTGAGTCTCATGGCAGAACCATGAGGCCAGAAAAGGGGGGGGGGGGGGGCTTGGGAATCCCACTTGGGTGTTCTATCCAAGTTAGTAAGTTGCTGGTAACCACCCAACTTGGTGATAATCTATTGTTAAGTCCCCCTAAGTGAAGGAAGCCCTGTTATCCGTGAGTTACGACCCAGGTGTGTGGCCACTTACTAACTTGGGCAAACATTCAAGCAGGGAATGCCGCTAGGGAGTTCCGCTCTCTGTGATATCACGATCAAGCCTAAAAAGTGGAACCCTGGCAATCGGGGCATCTGAACAAAGGACCACTCGACATACGGGGGACCCAGGTGGCCAGCAGAAGGAAAGATTTATGGTTTAAAACGGTCGTTGGGCAAGTAGGGTAAACAACATTCCAAGCCATTGGCGCTTTCATCCCAAAAGCGCTGCATGAGTTCCCTCGGGTTTGGGGTTCTTCGTGCTCCCACGTGGCTCATCCCAAAGCCGTAGGCTCAGAGGGGGTCAAGTTGCTTCAGCCCACCGAGGCTCACTCCCTGAGTTCGTGTTGGTAAACCAAAAGTTTGGACGTTGTTTGGCCCATCCACTCAGGATGAGGCCATATCGAGCCATGGCGCCATGCGTCGATCCCCAAAGCGGCCGCTTGCCGTTCCGCAGGAGGCAGCCTTTAGCATTCCGCTGCCGGAGCAAGTGATGCACGTGAAGTGGAACTACGTGGGCTCCTTACTGGCGATCACCTGCAAGGCCCTCTGCTTCCGCGAGGGGATGCTGTCGGGGAAGGGGGGGGGCTCACTCAACCGGAGGCTTGAGCGATTGGGCCGGCCATTCCCTGAGACTGTTCTTCACTTCTCGTGGTGGGTTCCTTAAGGCGACCAGGCCAGATGTTGTCGCAGCAGTACTGGCTCACATCTATCGTGGCTGTCAGGAGCTCAAGGTTGTTTGTTCCGTTTTGGGTGGAAGGGGCTATTAGCAGACTAGCTACACGGGGCTTCTGGAGGTAATAGCAGGTACACCCAAACCCAAAACGTTTTTCTTTGGCGGGTTCCCAGTGAAGAATCAGCAAACCCCCCCCTCCCCACCCAAAAAAAGCATACGCCCATATCCCCCACAGCAAGCCCCCCGGAACCCTTTCCGCCCATGAGCACTCCTGCATATCTTGCAAGATATACCCGCTTTGTTATGGTATCAGTTCAACCCTCTACTACAAAAGGTAGGTAAGATTACCATGGTAACACTTCCGGCTTTGCAACACATACCAACCCCACTAAGACCGTTTTTGGCAGAGTAACCCAGGCTAGCAGTCCACGTTCTCCCCCAAGAAGGCCATTGGCTTGGAGTTGTTTTCTGCGGACTTCGGCCGCACGGGCTCCATCGATCAGGACAAGAAGGTGCACATCGTGGACCCGCGGCAGAACAAGGTGGCGGGCACCGCGAAGGTCTGCGATGGCCCCAAGCCCTCGAAGGTGGAGTGGATCTCTTCCCCCGGATCCGCGGAGGAGGGATGCATGGATCCATGCGGGCATGCGGGGGCGGGGGAAAACCCCAAAATCAAGTTTGGGGTTTTTTGTTGGTTTGGGTGTTGTTTGTTATGTTTGTTTTGTTTTTTGACGTGTTTATTTGTTTTCTCGTTTCTCTTTAACACCACAAACAAGGGGAATGTGGGTGTTGTTTTTTCGTTTTGTTACGGGTCATGTGGGTGGTGTTCCTGTTGGTTGCTCTTTAAACTGCAGAACAGAGGTAATTACCCTCAAAATCCCTCAAAAACGACACACCTGGATGGGTGAGAGCAAAAACCAAAAGCGGGGGCGTTGGTTGGCCTGCATCCTGTGGTGTTTTGGAACCCCACCCCGTTTAGTTGTTGTTTTGAGCCGGGGTGTCGGTAAATATCAACGCATCCAAGGATTTCCCTTGAAATTCCACCCAGCTCCAGCGCCTCGACCTCCGCGTTACCTTTTGGTTTTGGAGGCTCCAAGGCAGGCGCTCTTTTTGTCGGAAAGCACCCGGGCCCCCCAAACGGAAGATGTGAAACAAGGCTGTGGCGCCCAGTGAAGTAGCCGGCTTGCAGCCGGGAATCCGTCTCTAAAGCCCGGGCCCCACCCCCAAGCTGCCATGTGCAACACCTTTGGTCCAATTCGACCAGTAAACCAACTTGATTCATACGAACCGTGACCCAAGAAAGCCGAAGGATTCTTCACGGAGATGTGGAAATCCAACAAAAAAACTCCAAGGAGATCGAATCCGCAGGACTGCCACTGCCTCATCACCACCGGGTTCACCTCCCAAGCGGAGCGCCAGATCTCCATGTGCCGTGGACCGAAAGCTTGAACAATTTGGCGAACTTCAATGCTGGGTGGACGAAATCCGCTTCTCGCACCACTTGGAAGCCGTGGTTGAAAATAATGATTGGTATTTTTTCAGGAGAATCAGCATTCCAGGGCTTCTTAGGTGGTGCAGAATTTCGTCCGTCCGCAGTAAGAAACCACCTCCAAAGTGGCTGGTGACATGAATCCCCTAAATGATGTCCACCAAAGGGTGCCTAAACAATATGCTCATTTGTTTGCCTTGGTATTCCTTCACGGCGTGACAGGATTGTGGGCGCAAAAGGGGGCCTCACTCCCCATATGAACCCTTACCTTGTTTGATTTGTTTGCCTTGGCGTTCCTGCATTTTCTTTTTTCCCCTGCCAGGCTTGCCTTGGGGGTTCCTTCATGTTCCAGACTGAGTTTACCTTGGAACTGGTTTCCTTGTTTTCCTTCCTGTTCCAGTTTAACCAGCCAGACTTGCCTAACCGTACTTTTGCCTTGGGTGTTCCTTCATGTTCCAGACTGAGTTTACCTTGGAACTGTTTTCCTTGTTTTCCTTCCTGTTCCAGTTTAACCAGCCAGACTTGCCTAACCGTACTTTTGCCTTGGGTGTTCCTTCATGTTCCCCTTTAGCCAGCCAAAGAGAACCGATCTTTGACGAAAAAGCTGTTTACTGCTTGGGGGTTCGGCTCTTTTTGCTTGGCCGAGGTGGGACACTCGCATGTTCCCCGTAGACGGCGACAAGACCCAAGGATCTTTGCAGGTGCTGAATGTTGACCAGGGTACAGGCTGGGAAAAACCGGCGGGAGGACCACGGGGGTGTTCTTGTTGGGTCCTTTGGACTGTTTTTACAGGGAGCCAAAGAAAACCACCCGGTTCATGTGTGCCATGGTGGAAAACACCCTTTGAGCTGCGGCTGGTCAACCCTTCAGGCATTTTCGAACAAGGATTCGGATTGAGGGAGCCACGGCACATGCGCGCTGGCCAAAAAGTTTCCCGGCTCTGTGAATTCCAGGACTTCCTTCTGCAGCCGTTTCTTGGGATTTGGTGCTCTCAGGGAAGCTAACACCAAGGGTCACTGCTATGCCAGGTTTTGTTTTTATTTTGCCACCAGGAACGTCAGATGGATTTCTGAACCAAGGGGTTCTTCTGATTTCAAGACCAGCCCATATGGTGACCCCAACACCTTCACTTTTGTGGGTCACACCCCCTTCTTAGCAGGACGGGTTTATCAATCTGGGGTCAACACTAAGTCGAAAGGTGATCGGTTGCTGGGGGCGCTCGGGCCACTGGTGAAATGTCATTGTTTGGTTGGATTTGCTTGAGGTCAATCAAAGCCAGAAATATGTTTGTTGCTTTAGTCCCTGTTCTTGGGGATGTGTTGGCTACCGTCTCTCCACCAAGCCGGGAAGCTGATAGGAAGGGTTGCTTTTGGGGAGCCCGTGCTGACGCCAGGCGCGCTGTACCCTTTCTTTGACCCTGGGACCCAGATGCTCTATGTCGCTGGCAAGGGCGACAGCAACGTGAGGAGAGGAACCGAAAGCTACGCCAGTTGTCAGCGTTTCACTCTTTGAGTACATGGATGTACATGGACTTGAAACTTTTTGAGGGAAGACCATTTTAGTGGCAAGCAAAGAGGTTCGACTTTTTTTGGCCTGTCCACTGAGGAAGTGAGTTGTTATAAATGGGTTGGAAGACCGTCGCATGTGTTTCCGCATTTTGACCCCGGGGGGTTGTTCTCCAAGAGGACAGTAGTCTTGCACTTGTGCAGGTTGTCCGCTTCGTTTGCCGCAGAGAGGGCATCTTCCGGTATTTTTTAGCTTTCCACTGGCCAAGCCTGCCCCAGTTCATTTAAGTCGACGTTTGACTTATGCCGCGGATGCTCATGTCGGTGCCACTGTTGGCAGATCCCAGAAAGGACGTCTAATCCCCAGGACGGAAACAAACAAATCCCCGCCCCCATGGAAGTGGGGGACGGGGTTGGAGGAACTTCAAGGTATCCTCCCTCCCCCCCCAACCAATCGGAAGTGAGTATTCGGAGTTAATGCTAGTCTTATCCTAGCCTTATCCAGGGTTTGTGGCTATGTGGTCGGAGCTTTAGACCTTAACTTTTTTTTTTGAAATACTGCGGTTGTCATATGAAACCCACAAGGGACAAGAGTTGATCAAGAGCTGCCGAGCCCCGTCCCTTCTTTTGGCTTTTGGCTTCTTTTTTTTCGGCCATGGGAGGTACTTCGAGGTGGTGAACCACGAGCCCTACCTGCACTATTTGGAGACCTTCAAGACCAACGTGCCGCAGAAGGGCTTCGACTTCCTCCCCAAGCGCCGCTCGACCGCTCGACGAAGTCGGGGCAGAAAACGCCCTTCGCGGAAATCGCCGTGGCCAACGGGAGAGAGACCCGTTGGCGTGTTTTTTTTGTTTGTTTTTCCTTCTTTTTTTTCCCGTGGGGCCTCCGCGGTTTCAGACAACTTCCCGGTTTTGGTCATTGAATCCCAGAAAGGGTCACTGGGGACTTTGGGGAACTTCTGGTTAGGGTCCCATCGAACTTATTCCAATGTTGGTGCTTGCTTTTTGTGATTGTTTTCTGGGGAGAAGGGGGGTTGGTGTTTGGCTGCCTTTCAACTTTTTGAACCGTTGGTTTTTCGCAGTGGTCGGCTTTTTGCTTAGAAGGGCTGAGTGGTATGAACCAGTCAACGGCCCAAAAAAAACTGGGCTCATAAATGGAACCCCCATATTAATAAGCCCCTTGTTGGGGGGGCGGAGCGGGAGTTCACCAATTTTTAGAGGGGTGTTCACCCCCTAACCCCTATACGGTCGGTGGACAAAATCCTGCACCACCTAACAAACCTGCAATGGTTTGATTCCCCAACGTAAATACCCACGTCGACACTGGTTTCGCTCTTGGATTCCAAGCGGTGCGACATGGATTTCAGCCTCCAGTAGGATGGGCTTATACGCATCCGCTCAGGCTGCGTAAACGTGGGCTGCCACGAGCTCCTTGGCATGGGGGGCCTCATCCTGGAACCGAGAGGAAACTAGGACTTCGGTTTGGTGAAGTGATTGTGTATGTTATTTTCTCCTGTTGGTTTTAAAGTGGTTTAGGGTTTAGGGTTTAGGGTTTAGGGTTTAGGGTTTAAAGAGAATCGAGTTCACTCTTGGAAAAAAAAAAAAAAACGGGGCTTGAGCAAAAGGAGCAAGAACTTCGGCAAGCATCCTGTTTAGTGGACCACTCATTTGTGATTCCCCGTTCTGTTCAATCATCGTTCTTTTCAATATGAGGCGTTTCCCGTGAGTTCAGGCGATTTTCTGGAAAGGAGGACGCCCAAAAAGATCCCCAAAAAATGGAGAAGTTGCTCCAGACCAGTTGATCAGTGGGTGAAACTCTTCTTGCTTGGTAAGTTCGCACCAAACATGTTCCCCAACCAGGGTTCCAATGGGAAGTTCCAATGGGTTTTCTACCAGGGTACTAGGCAAGTGGCTTGGATGAACAGAAGCGAGCGCAGTTTGCTAAGTTTGACAGCTTTTTTGAAACAGGCACCGGGCATATCAGCCGGGTCGGTCGGGTGTGGAAACGTGGGGGTCCAACAATCCCAGTCCAAGCCATTCAACCGTTCCCCCCAAAAACATCCGGGCCACTACACAAAAGGGGTGCACGCCCTTTAAGTGGCTAGTCTGGGATTTTTGTTTCGTGCAGGAAGCCCTTGAACGAGATGTCCACACAAAAAATACATGCGAGCCCAGATGTGTTGCGCGCATGTTGTAGACATAAGTGACATATATGTGTTTTTTCCTTGGGAAATGCAGCCCTGAGTACTTCCTTGAGTTGGGCTTCTTTGACTGCGGGGATAGGGTGGGTGATCACAAAGTGTGCTCTGCTCTTGGGGTTAAAGTGCAGCAGATTGCACAAATTAGTCATTCATCCCCTAATTCCCTGCCCACACAATTAGCGGGAACTCTTTGCCATGCAGGTCACCCTGGTAATTACTCCCCCCCTGTTAGGGGCCCGGCTGCACTACCAGGTTGAACTCCACTGAACGGGGACTGATAAGTACCACCTAGAAGTTGCCAACAACTTACTAACCCAGCGAATCGAAGACCCAAGTGGTAAGTGGCGGTCACTCCCCCACCCCCCCAACCCCCCCACCCACCCCCCAACCCCCCCCACCCCGAGTTTTCTATCGAGAGCCACCAATTTCTCTTCCTCTCCCGATCCGCTTCCCTATCGGGGAAGACCCAAGTGGTACATGGTCACTCCCCCCCCGGCCCCCACCCCCGGTCTTTATCCCTTTGGGGAGACTCCGGATCGGATCGGATCGACCGCGGATCGACGGAAAGGATCATGAAGGGCTTGAAGCTGGAGACCTCCGCCATCCAGCCCGTGTCCTTCCGCGTGCCCCGGAAATCCGAGGCTTTCCAGGAGGAGTTCCGAGCGAGCCGGGATCGAAGCGGGCGAGATGGGCGGGTGGATGGGGGTGCTTGCTCGATTTGTTGGTTCGGGGAGCCCAGTTGCCCAGTGGATTCTGACCCTTTGTTCAACTTTTGTGGGTAAGGGTTCCCTTTTAAACTCAACCAACCACAAAAGGGTGCCCAGCTTTTCCTTATGGCCACTGGGCATCTGAGGTAGGGGCGGGGGCAGTGCTTTCTTTGTTTTTCAATTGGTTGCTAGAGCCACTTCTTGGGTCACCGAACAGAAGGGTCGACGTGTTTGGGCCAATTCACTCAGTGGTTTTCCATACTGGGGTCACTTAACAGTGGCCTCTTTTGGAACCCCTCTTGCCTCGAAGCAAGAATAGAAGTGATGCCAAAAACATGAGAAGACTGATAATTCCGGGTTCAGAAGTTGAAGTAAGGTTACCCTCTAGGCTCTGTTGCCCACCCAGAATGATGCTTCTCAGAACCTTTAAAGATGTAACCTACCACTTTTGGGACCTTTTAGGACCCAGAAAGCATCAGGACCAGCTGACAGAAGGACGTACCTTTTTGGAGGAAGCGCCCCTTTTTTGAGCTGCTTTAAGTTGGAAGCCAGATGGAAACCACCCATTTGTGCGGGGTCCCGCATTTAGACACACACCAGCACACACCCAAAAGGACCAGCAGATGGGTAGCACCCATAAGGAACCCCCTTTGGCCCACGAAAACATGGCCACCTCGACCCCGTTTTGTCGCGAAGCTTGAAGGGTTATTTCCGATGTATGGCAGCCAAATGGGTGTGTCCTGTTACGCCGGTGCCCTTTTTTGGGATGTGTTAAAGGGGAAATCAAGAGAAACAACCCCTCTTGTTTGAGGGGGTGTTGGAGAAGGAGAGATCCAAATGGGCCAACCCCCCCCCCCCAACCCCTCCCTATTCCGGGGGGGCAACAATCAAACGGACACCCAAATCCCTGCGGTTCCAACCAACCCCCCTCAGGACCTCTTCCCCGACTGCCTGGCTGGGGTGCCCACCATGGGCCCGGACGAGTGGCTCAGCAACTCCCGACAGGCGGCGTTGTCGCGTCGTTGCACCGGGCGGGCGGCGATGGCCCGTGGCTTTCTGAAGGACTCTTCCATTTGCTGAAGAATGTGTTTTTTCTCTAAACCGTGTTGGTTTTGAAGGGAATCTATCACTACTGCAAATAGTTGTTCATGTTTTCGACGGCTTTCGAGGGGTCTCAACCAAAGGGAAGGTGACTGAAGCTTCACTTTGGGTAGTGCCGGACAGGTTTGAGGTTTTACAGGCCGGCTTGAGCGGTCCCGGTGATGTCCGGGGGGAGTTGATCCAGCCAACTTTGTTGGCCGACTCTGTCCGAGAACGGCACTAACTCCATACCATCGCCTGGCTGATTTCGGCACCAAAAAGTCCGCTTACTGTTGGGTGGTAGCAACTAGTGGATGGGCCGAAGGCGTTGTTTCCCAATACGGGAATCGCGCAGCGCTTCATAGACATTTTTGGGTTTGGAGCATTTGGGTAAGACCGGCTGTTTTCCCTCTCCACTCGATCAGGAGTGAGGGGTTCAATCATCGAACGCTGGGGGAGCTAATCCAGGGAGGATTGGAACCCAACTAGACCAACATTCTCAGAGATATGGGATATTAAAATAGGGACTCAGACTCCCCAAGAAAGGTGGAATGATTGTGCCCCTGGTTCCGCTTTTAGCTTCCCATCCTGGTCTCCAGTTTCTTTTCAACAAAAACGGGTACCCCAAAAAACCATCAAGCCCAATGGGGCGCGGAACACCCCCCCCCAACCTGGGTCTTTTTTGACATGATCTTACGCTTGTAGGTCACTTGGTATGGACCAGAATCAGGCGTTATTTTGGACGGGGGCAAACGTTGAGGTGGAACAAATCGTGGTTACAGCTTTGAGTCTTCCTTAAGCAACCCCAAACAGGTGCCCTCAAAAAAGAAGACATGCCCAAATGGAACCTTGTTTGTTGGTTTCTGATTCTGACGATGCTGGTGATGTTTGAGGAAAATGAGGATGACGACGATAGATGGTGCTGGTGGTGGAAGTTGATTTAGTCCAACCACCACTAAGTCGCTCCACGCCCAAAGAGAGTTTTGTCCTTGAACCCCTAGAATAAATCCCTTGCATAAAAGTCCCTGATACAAAAGTCCCTCATTTAAAAGTCCGTGTGTGTGTGTGTGTGTGTGTCTTTTTCATTGGCTGCTTTTGGGGCCAAGCACATGGACAGGCCCTGCCCATCCTCACCTCCATGAAGCCCGGGGCGCAGAAAGCGGCGGGGGGGGCGGGGCTGGGCGCCCCGGCCGTGGTCTCGGTGAAGGACCTCAAGAAGCAGCTGGCGGAGGCAGGAATCCAGCTTCCATGGGCATCCATTTGTTCAAGAATATGTGTTTGTTTCTTCCATGTGGTTACAAAATGGGGCCGGGAGTTCATGGACATGAAACGTTTCTTCCATTTGGTCAAGAATAGTTTTTTTAGTTGTCCCCTGTTGGTTTTAAAGGGAATCGATTTCACTACTGGAAATATGTTATCTTTGTTTCCGGTCGAAAAACCAAATGGAAGATGATCCTCTTCCCGGCCCAGTGGAATCCGCCCTTAGCTTTTTTTCCCATGGAAATCCGCTGGGCTGAGTGTTGAACAGGTGTGGGTGTGGGTCAAAGTAAAAGAATGGGGTTACTTTTGGTTGAGTCTTTGTTGCCATTGGCCAAGGCGCAATTTTGGTACATGTTTTCGAGCCACAGCTATGTGGGTCTGTCTTTTTTGAGTTGGTATCCCTTTTTGGTACTTTGATGTACTTTGTGGTTGGCTTTAAAGGGAAACCAAAGGGAAACCAAAGCCATTTTTGGGGGGTCCAACCTTAAAAAAGAGACGTACCCGGGGAAACGGTCGCATCGGTTTGTGTAGATTCGCATCGATCGCGCGTGGCCGGGGAAGGCATCCCCGCAGGAAGCCGACCCAACGGGATACCAAAGAAGCAAGCTTGATTGCTACTGGGTTGGATCTTTTGTTGAAATCGAGGGCTTTTTGCGAATTGAACCCACAAAAAGTTAACTCTTTTTTTTTGCAGAGGGGTCAACAGAAACCAAGATCTGAAAGTGGAATTAGGCGAGGGTGGGCCCCCATTTCCGTTTTTGGAGCCTCCGAAAGTGGCGATCGTTTCAACAGCAAGCACCACAAAATTGACCCCTATGGGAGGGGGGTGGGGGGTTTGGGATCATTATATTTTGACTGTTTCTGGAAACGGTCAAAGTCAGAACGTTACTTAGGGCGGCGAGACAATGCGGACAGGGGGTGGAGCCTGGAATTCCATTCAGTAGTCCCATTCCCTTTCGTGGGGAAGACTAGGGAAAAACCTTTCCTGGACTTGATGCGTGGGAAGACCATTGAGTGGCTCCCACTATAGTTAGGGGAGTATGGTGCGGATGAACTTCACTTGCAAGCAAAGCGAATTGACCAGATCAATCGACCTTTAGTCGTGGCCGAACAGGTCAACCTAACTCCCCGAGTTCCTGACCTCAGTCACATTATGCAGTCAATTGTTGGGCTCGGACAATTTCTCGGTAAGCAAAAAGTGTGGCTACTTTGTCTAGCCCATCCACTCAGGAAGTCACCTGTTTTGACAAGTGTTTTAGCTTTGAGTGCCTTGTTGGTTCTCATGTGTAGTGGGCGGCATCAATAAAGTCAACCAGTTTCTCTTGCTACCATACCAAGGGTCCGCAAGTTTGGGTTGGGCAGCACCCTCCCAAGAAGGCAAATTAAATTGAGGTTTCCTACAGGCATTTGATCTTTTCGGTACACTCCAGGTGCTAATTCGCAAGGCCAATCTAGAGACCCCTGTCTGGGCTCATCAAACCTTTGCATTTGGAGGGTGGCGGTTTCCCAGTTTCTGGGCTTACTTTTTGTGGCCAGGCCAATCAAGATCCCGGAAGGTGATCAGCCTTTCTTTCCGGGTCCCTTGGCAAGTGAGTCTTGCGACTGGAGGCCCAAGAGAGGATCAAGACCTTGGAGACAGAGAACGAGATGCTCAAGCAGGAGATGGCAAAAGCCAAGGCTTAGACGCCCGAACTCCTCCCGAATCCACTGGAGCGGAGCTTGAGTGTCTTGAGGCGTTTTGTACTAGCCAAGTTCTTCCGCGGCCCCCCAATTTTTGTCATGTCTTGTTTGCTGGGTTCAGAGAAAGAAGAAAAACAACGGCAACACAAAGGGCTCCCTCTTTTGGGGTCGCCGGACAACTGGGAGAAGCGTGTTGGGCTACTTGCAAACTGGTTTATGTTTGCGTTCAGGTCTTTATGGGATGAGTCCCATGTCGAAATTCGACAAAAAAAATCCATCCAACTCCAACTCCATTTGCATTGCAATGGAGATCTTATCCCCAGCCGGCTGCCAATGGCAGTTGCGAGCAGCGAACGCGATTGCGAGGGAAAACGAACGCGTGCTGTCCGCTCCACCCCTGTCATTCGCCTTGTTGCCGGATGTTCCCAAACTACTCGGTTGAAAGGTCACCACCCCTACTTAGCATACTACTTGAACCCTTTTTAGCTCTTTGCCTTTGTGCAGTTTCACGATATCCTGCCTCACCTGAGGCAAGTGTGGATCTGCGTTTAGCCCCGCAGTGTTGTCATCCTTCCACCGGGTCTTGCTTGGGCCTCACCCCATTCGGGGCTCGCTGGATGCCCAACAAAAACCCGCCACGCCCGATCAAAACCAGGGTAACTTGTGGTGTACTAGGGGTGTTTCTTTATCTGTTCTCGGCATGTGTTTTTTGGGTCTGGTCATTTTACTGGGGGGCTCGGGAGAAAAAGCAAATGTTTGCTCCAAACTCACTTGGCTGTGACCGGTCCAAAAAAGGTCGACACTTTTCGGACCAGTAAAATAAAGGGAGAGCCACCAAGAAGTGTAAAGTGTGTCCACTGGCTGCCTGTTGCGATCGGAGAGCCGCAGTTTCGACAGAGCCTGGGTCCTGGACCAAGCTGGAAAGGGATAGGGTGTTACCACATTGCAAGGGAGCAAGGAAAACTTTACAACCCTTGGTAGCAACATGCACCACTGACAAGGAAATCAACCGCCTTCTCCGAGTTCTCCTCTGGCATTTCGGCCACCACCCAGTCAGCTTTTGCAACCCCTCCCCCCGCACAATACCTAGCTCCAGATTTGAGAGATTAGAATAAGGGTACCCGATTTTTTTGTTTTGTCTATTTTGATAGGGGAACCTCCCCAAGAAAAACGGGAAAAGGGCACTACTGGGGGACCTAGTTACAACACTTTGGTATGGTGCTGACGAACAACATACCTGCCGGTTATTTGGGCTGACAGAACATCAGGACAAATAGGTTCTGTCCTTTCTTGCATTCCAATATTTGGAAACATTTTTGGGCACATCACCGACCGCGGGGTGAAACGAGCATGAAGGTCCTTGAGCGAAGCCTTCTTCCCTTGATTGCCATTGGGTTTGATCTTCGACTTTAACTTGTTGGACAAGCAGGTGTGTGTGTGTGTTTTTTTTTTTTTTTTTTTTTTTTTTTTTTTTTTTTTTTTTTTTTTTTTTCGAATTCAGCCCACAAAAAGTGATTCATTTTTTGCAGAGACGTCCTTCCAGCAGCAAAGTCCCCATCATGCCAGTGCTTCGTAAACCATGTTCACCCATCGAGCCAGCGGTCTCCAGCTTCAGCTTAGCTTCAGCTTCTTTTCGCGCGGCAATTCGGCTCCAGGGCTCGGCGGGCGGAGCGGCATCCATATTTTTGTGGTCCACTACTAAAAAGGTCAAACCCGGAAAGGGATCCAACTAAAATGCCCCAGTAATTTGGCGAGTTCCCCCCAAAACTAGTCAACACAAATTGTCCCAATTCTTGTTCTTCGGGGTTTGGGTTCCACTTGTCAAAGCTCCAGCAACCGGCCATTCGGCTCTGGCACATTTGGGTCTTCCCCTTTTGTCGGGAAATGTTCTCTACCGGGAACAAAAGGAACGGGCCCCTGAAACAAGACACCCTTCTCATGTTGACCAGAACCGCATCCAAATCCATGGCGGACATTGGTGGCTTCCGATACGGCCACGAGCCTATGGAGCGCGAGGACCATGGGGACCATGGGCTGGGAACATGGGGCTTTGGGTTGAGGGAGTGGTTTTTGTTTTGGGTGGGAAACCACCGGTTTTTTTTAAGGGGTGTTCTCTTGACAGACACATGGGTTAAAGGTGTTTTAGGGAGCCACCTGTTTTTTTGGGGGGTCCCTTGCATGGAACAGACAACGCCTATGTTTTCTGGGGTGAGTCAAAAGAATAAGCTGGTCCAATGGAGTTTCCTGTGGAACCCTTGGCAACACACTTTGCACCGGAGGCCCGCTCGATTTCCGAGCCTGGAAACCGATCTCGTCTCTCCTTTCAGGATTTCCCTGTCGGATGCGTGTTGTTCTCCAGCAGGGAATTTTCGCAATGTCTAGACTTGAACTGTCAGGCTCGCATGGCTGTGGTTCAAAAATAGGTACCCAAAGTGCAGCCCGGTGGCCCAGGACGCCTTCCTCCCACGAATCCCGCAGGCTGGCCCGAGATGACCGTGGAGTGCCCAAAACTCATTCACAGAAGGGCCAGGCGGTTCTCGTACCTGGTCTTGTGCTTGTAGTAAGGCCTATATAAACCAGTTTTCGTGTTGCCCAAGTGGGTGGGTTTTGCAGGTGGTGTGTTCGGAGCGGGGAGGAGATCTTTTTCAGAGGGTGCAGGTTGGCAAAAGTAGACGGAATTCCTCCATGCTGAGTCATCACCCTTCCCAACAGAAAGTCAGTTGTTTTTGAACCTGAACCGAACCCAGTTGTTCAGTGGCAAACCTCTAGATCTCTATTGGGGGGCATGCTTTGCCAGGATCCCCTGCGAAAATCACAGTGCACTCCCAGGTTGGGTTCCGCTGGTTGAAGCTCACTTGCCCTCACTGGCCAACCTTTTGACCTTTTCTTCCATTTGCTTAAGAATATATATATATATATTATTTTCCCCTGTTGGTTTAACAGGGAATCTATCACCATGCTGTTTTTTTTTGGTTGCCCAGGGGTCTTCACCAAATGGAAGTGTTGTCGTTTCCTCTTGCTTGGTCCATGTTTAGCCATGGCTCCCTTAAAGGTCAAGCATGTTTTTCTTCGTCAGGGCACCTCAGGTGACAGGAGGCCCTTCCGCAGATCTCAGCAGGAAAGGCTGGTGAAGCCCACTGCGTTTGGGGTTTGCAAACCCCAGGGAGGGATGTGTGTTGCCAAGTTTGTAACTCAGTTGTTCAGTGGCACCAATTCTTTTCCCCTTTGTTTTGGTGGCCGCCAGGGTCACTGAACGACTGAAGTAAGTTGTTCATAGCTTATAACCGACTTAGGCCCTCAAGTGGAGTTAGGCGTGTTCTTGGGTTAGAACCCAACCACACACCCAGACTCGGCGCATCAAGGGCTCCACGCCGGGTGCGTCGGATCGCTTGGCCTTCCGCCGGAGTCAGCCGGGGCCCAAGGGGACGGAGAGCTCTCAGGGCCAGCGGCGGCCTCCAACAACGAGGTTCGAACCTGCTCTTTGGTGCATTTGCTTGGATGTTAGGACTTTAACATACTTCAACTCTTTGCCAACTAATGAGTTTTCCGTATTAAACCACTAAAAGGTGAAACCTTTAGCAGGGGAGCCGAAAGCAACCTAGTATTGCTGATGACGGTGACATCCATTTTCTTAGGCACCACCAAACTCAGAAATCTAGTGGAATGGTTCGATTCCTCAAGGTAAATACCAATCAACGTTATGGTTTCAGCCATGGTTTCCAAGTGGTGCGAAAAATATGTTGCCCGTCCACATGAGGGCAGGCTATATGCAACAGAGAGTTGGAAAAGATGAGTTTCTGTGTACCCCAGATGTGGGTCAAGATTGGGCGAGGCATCAAAGGAGCTGAGGAGCCCCCAAATTTATGAAACTCGGTGGCCAGCTGTGCCGGATTGTGAGAAGAATGGCTGAATAAGGCAATTGCACACATCGGCGGATAGTCATAAGATATGTTGGTTTGACACGGTGGATGGACGACTGAAAACCACGGTTGAAACCATTGATCAATGGTATTTACAGGGGAATCATCATTGTGTTTTTTTTCGGTGATGCGAACGGATTTCGTCCATCCACAGTAGCATCCCAGAAGTTCATTAGATTTCACTACCCTTGGAGTATCCCACTTGGGGGACTTACAGAGGATTAAATGACCCATAGACAGAGCAAGTCACAGGTTAAATGGGCCCAAAGCGCAGGATGCTGGACCATCTTAGACGCCAGACCCCTCCACTGTCGTTGGCATGTTTTAGGTTTGTCGGTTTGTTGGCTCTGTTCATTTTGTAGGCGGCTGCACAAAACAGACAGTTTTTTTGGCTACCATACCCAAGGGTTAGACACAGTGCTCTGAACTTCCATTGTTGGAAAGAGCGCAAGCTTCCTGATAACTTTCCCTCAGGTGGGGACCGGTGAAGGGTTCCCGCTCTCAAAGCGGGACTTGGGGAAACCCCTAAACCCTAAACTGGCTACGCCGCTTTTGTATGGGTTTCACAGGCTCGTGCCCAAATTGACGGTGTTTTAGCTGGGCAAAGCACCAATCACAGGCCAGCGCAATCCATACGCCTTTCTCGCTTTAGCCAAAGGCGTTGGCAAGAAGGAATTCGGCAGATGGCGTGACCCCTGGAGACATTGGGTTCACGTCAGGCTTGAGGCAACTGTTGTTCAGAGTGCGTTTCCCTAGTGTGAGAACCAGGGGAACGCCACCCATCCCTCAAATTTGTGAGGCAATTCTAGATCGACTGAAGTCGGCCCCACTGGTAGCTCCAGGACAAATGATTGTTTCTCCAAATTGCGACTCCCTATCGGGTTGGCTTTCCTTTTGGTTCCCTTGCAACCTCCAATGGACATTCCCCAAAGTAAGACAGGGTAGCCGATGATTGGAGTTCCTGACGCAGGCTAGTATTGTTCCCATAAGCCCTGGCAATTTTCGGTCAATACTTTTGCCGCAGCCGTGCATCGCACCGCGGCTTGGCTCGCAGCGGCCCCGCAGCTGCCGTCTGTTTGCGAGATCTTGCTACTTGGTGGATGTGGGCTGTGAGTCATAGGTGTCCTTTCATGTTTCCCTCCCAACAAATATGGAACCTACCAGGGCAAGACCTTGATCCTCGACAAGGGACCCTTTGGTGGAGTTCAGATGGTTCCATGTTAGTTGGTTTCGGTATGTTTCGGTCTAGTCGCTTACCAGTGCCAAGCTGTGTTTGTGTTGTTTTTCCCAGAAAGGCCCCTGGAAAAGATCTGGTCCGTCCTTTCACTGACTGCAGGAATTGGTGAGTAGGAACTTTTCGGGCCTACAGGAAGCCAAGTTGCTTCTCATCCCTTGCCCTCTTGATGCAGGCACACTTGTGGGTTGGATTGGTGGCTTGGGGATTTGAAATTCTGGTTCTACCCCCCCGCAACCGTTTGGACCAAACGGAGGCTGATATTCCGGCAAGTAGCCCATCCCCCTGCTTGGGCAAAAGCAAGCTAGTCTATGGCGCGCAAATCGTCACATTATGACCAGTTTAACCAGGCTTAGGGGTAAGATAAGCTCACCTGCCATGCCGGGAACTCCCTTGGTTTCCTCACTCCTGAAATCGTGCACACTTGTTTAGCTTTTTGGGAAGACTATGTTGGTGGCAAAGAAATACTTTGCACCTTGTTTGGCCCCATCCACTCAGGAAGTTAGTTGAAGTCTTCTAGATAGCGTTTTGGATCCAGATCCATGGAAAGGCCCGCTTTGAGGGATTCTTGCAGGGGCCAAACAGTCAAGGCTTTGCCCAGGGGAGACTTCCCCCCCCCGCTTTCGAATGCAGCGAGTGGCTCTAAGAGGCCGGATCGAAGCGAGGTTTGCATTGGCAGACGCCTTCATTCACCCCGAGTGAGTGTTTCATATCGCAGCTTAGCTGCAGATGGGTCGTTGGGGCAGTGGGGAACTGCCTGGTTTGCGTGTTAGGTTCCTGGGATCATATTTCCAGAGGTGTCCTTTTTGGTTTGGTTGCAAAATAGAGGGCCCTAGTTTACCTGGTGGTTCAATCATCTACCAGGGGCGACCATTTTCCAAAACGGACACCTACATATATTGCTTGAAGAGGTCTTGGTGTGAGCTGGGTTTGTCCACCTGCGGCGACTGAAGTCAGTCCGAAGGCACTTGGCAAGGCTCCCAGAGAACCGTGCTTTGATAAGTCGCTGACAGTATCGGCAGTATTGGTACTCTAGTATCGCTTGTAATTCAACGACGATTTGACCCCTTAGATCCAACACATCTCTCGCTAAGAATCGTATGTGCTGGGCAAAGTGGTGTGCGAATGTGGCGTTTGCCCAGGCAAAAAACTGTGGATCGTCAAGCTGAATCATTGGATTGTCTTCAACTGGCCGTGCCCCAGCAGTCGTGAAAAAGCGTTTCATGTGGTTCCGATCCCTTAGTTGCCTAGGCTACTGCTTTGTTGATATCTGTTGTTTCAATGATATCCCCCCCCCTCAGCCTCTCAGATCTGGCCCCAAAGCAGAAACAATACGGCAAAGCAATATGTGATTTGTCTATTTTGTTTTGGGGTTGTGGTGATGAAACCTGTGCTCATTCTTCGGACCCATATTTCCCAGGCGTAAAAGTGCTGCGGGCTGGGTTTGATTTCGGCCCCATGAGTCAGCTGAGGCAATTGGAAAGGGAACTTAAATGCGCAAGTAAATGCCTCAAGTTGGATGAGATCCACCTCTGCAAGAAAAACCTACTTCTAAAATAGTCATATACCCTTTGTGTAGATATTGTTGGGCTTCGGGCCTTTTTCCTCCTCGCATGATGCTTTCTTACGGCCGGGATTCGCATGTTCCATGCCAGGGTCCCCCAAAAGAGACCACCCCCCAAAAAGGGCACCCAACAGGAACCCCGTTCTTCCATTTCTGACGTTTTAAGGAATTGAAGGGAATCTATCACTGCTGGAAATGTGTTTATGTTTTCCAGGGAGCAAAAAAGCAAATGAAAGCGTTGAAAGACCTATGGTGCTCACCCCTGGCCCTATTGAGAACAGCCAGGCTAGTAAGTTGTTGGGAACCACTCGGTGATGACCCACTTGCAAGTTGCCCCGTTCAGTGTGGTTAACCGTGTGATTAAGGGTTATAGTTATAACCCAGGTGGGTAACCACTTGAACACTTACTACCCTCCCACTGTTTTCGCAGGGAACCTGTCAGAAATTCTCTTTAAAAGGAGAATGGTCCAGGCCCCCCCGAAACGTGAGTTTCCATGTGAAAAGGGTGGGAGGGAAGCTGGTCGAATCTAAGACCCAACCGGCCATCAGTGGGATTTACCCTTGTTAATGGGAGGTTATAGTCATAGTAACCAGTTACTACCCTCCCACCTACAGTTCCACTGACCAAACTGGCCAATTAGGCTAAATTCCTGAGTGTTCTCGTTTAAACCAGTGACGAATCGGTTTTCGAAGACCCAGCTGGCCATCAGTGATGGATTTACCCTTGTCAATTGGAGGTTATAGTTATAGTAACCAAGTACTACCCTCCTACCTACAGTTCCATGTTGACCAAGCTGCCAGTTCCTTAGATGGGTTGTCGAATCGAAGACCCAACTCAGGATGATTCGCCTGCTGGGCCTTTTCGTGTTGGGCGCCGCCACCACGGTGGAGCAACCGAGACGCGCCAGCTTCGTGCGCCGCGAGGATGGGGCCCCTTGGAGCTTGGGGGGTGGGGGGGTCTGCGCCTTGTTTGGGCGGCCTTCAAGGGAAACCTGAACCATGCCCCGCCATTTGTGGTGTGTTGTGTTTGTTTGCTGTTGTTGTTTTTTTTGGGGGGGTGTTCCCCAATTTTGAGACAACCTAGTTATTATATTTGTGTTTGGTTAGGCGGAGGGGTGGCCCAATTTTGAGACAGCCATGTTCCCCCTAAGCGTGTGATATTGAATGCGGCCTATCATTTCAATCGCTTGTTATCCAACCTCCGGGCACGTCTACCGTTGCAAATAACATCCCCTTGGAGGTAAACAACGACTTGACCAGGTGTTGTGCAAGCGGACAATCAACAAGCGCAATGGTTTCTTTCCTACCGGGTGCGCTGTTCAATTTACATTTTGACGGTTTCTATGGTTGTAAGTTGTAAGTCAGTCGTGGGGATGGCTCCCGGTGGAAAGTGCTGAGGCCTTTTGTGCGAGCCATCCCCACGATGAGGCACTAATGGGGCAGGGGGTCGGACCCTGGAGATCTTCATGTGGTTTCATCTTGCTGGTTCTCAGGGAATGAGGGCATGGCCCGTGTCAACAATCCCTTTTAAGGCTTCCCTTAAGGGAATCCCCAAAACCGGTTCATTCCCACAACCCGGACTCGGTCATTCCCCACCTATCGCAGCAGCAAGCCATCAGACAACATGTCATCTTCACTGCTCTTGGCAAGTTCTTCGTTTTGTTTCTTCTGGTCGTTTTTCGGTTTTGGGG